AAGAAAATGGATGGATGGATGGATGGATGGATGGATGGATGGATGGATGGATGGATGGATGGATGGATGGATGGATGGATGGATGGATGGATGGGCAATGCACTAGGAAGGATTAGACTGAAATGGTGTGAAACAAAAAGCTTTTATGAATAAAAAGAAAAAAATTGACATTTGTGAAACAGAATGAAAAAAAGATTAAAACAAAAATTTCAAAATCCTAAAAAAAAACTTTATTTTTTTAGCCATGAATGCATATTATGGATAAGATTTCAAACAAATAAACTTGTAAAGTTACTGAAGTTCATGTTTTTTGTGAACTGGTGCCACGTTAATGAACTGAACAAATTCACCATTTGTTCTTCACATCATGTGCAAAATGCATTTTATATATTAAATTGTAAAGTTGTTTTATATGTTGTATAACAAAGCCCAAAAACCCTTGGTGCAGAAGAAGGGATAACCTTTGCGGCAGCCTAAAACTTCTTAGGTGGGTGGCGTCTGGCTCGAGTCTGGAGATGTCGCAACCACTGAATTTCCACCTTCTAGATCTTTGTGGTCACACATGTAAGATGTTGGACATATGATAGGGCAACAAAAGTCCTCTTTGTTTAGATATCTGAAGAAGATAAACATTAATATGGCAAACCCAGCTTACTTCAGTGATAATGGTGATGTCTAAATGTGACATTTCAGCTTTTGATATGGTGTCTGAGCCTACTTTGTGTATAAATAGTGTAGATCTTGAGGAAAGTTATATTAAGTGTGAGATTTTTATTTGTTGTGTTTTGAAGACAGGACTGGGGTTCCCCCTCCTCTACTATGAGTGGTGACTATCAGTCTGTGTGAGTGGGTCTATTGCATGTTTCCATTTCTCTTCTTCTTCAGCACCTTTTACCTTTGACATTTAGGCCTACCCCCACACACAAACACACTTCCCTCAGCGGATGCGCCATGCGAGGGGCCGCAGTGAAGCATGCCGTCCCCAGATGCAGGGGATTTCCCCTGGTGTTATACCCATCTGCTGCAGTTGTTATGTTTGTATGTGTGGCTGTCTGTGTGTGTGTGTACGAGTGTGTTTTGTCCACTTTCTGGGGGACTCCCAGACTTGCAGACTGAGGGGGAGGATCAAAAATGACAGTGAAAGTTTAAATAGCAAATCATCAAAAATTATTAACCTGCTGTCTGTGCATTACTCTGTACTGAGATAGAGGGGGCAGGAGACTGATTACTTTTGTTATTGAGGATTGTGTATTTATCAGGTTAAAAGCTCAGGATCATTTGCATTCACTTTTTTCCTTTGAAAAAAACAACACATCATCACCACTAATGTGGAAACAAGGTAAAAAAAAAGATAGTAATTGAATACTGAATGTATTTTAGGATCACACGTCAGTGTATGGGCGGCGCAGTGGATAGCACTGCTACCTTAGAGCAAGATGGTTCTGGGTTCGATTCCCATATTTAACAGACTTTGACAAAGCCTTGCAGCAAGAAGGTTGCAGGTCTGCATGAACCTTTCTGCATGAAATTTGCATGTTCTCCCTGAGCATGCGTGGGTTCTCTCTGGGTACTCTGGCTTCCAAAAAAACATGACTGTTAGGTTAATTGGCGTCTCTAAAGTCCCCTTAGGTGTGAATGGTTGTTTGTCCTGTTTGTCTCTGTGTTGCTCTGTAATGGACTGGCGACCTGTCCAGGGTGTACCCCGCCTCTTGCCCATAGACACCTGGAGATAGTCACCAGCACCCCACTGTGAACCCCCTTAGTATAAGTGTGTAAGAAAATGGATGGATGTCAGTGTACTGTGCTTTGCCAAAGCGTTCACACCTCTTTCCAATTTAATGATTTTGCAAACCATGTATAATGTAGGGGTTTTCTTTTCTAGAGGAGGAAAATATTGTGCATAAATGTGAATTTGGAGGAATATAATTGATGTTTGCAACAAAACAAAAAAATCCTTGGATGTAGAGTCCATTTCCACACGGAATCAGTTCTTCGTAGAACCATATTTATCTGTAATTACAGCTACTGCAAGTCTTTTGGGGGTAAATCTCTGTCATAATTTTAGACTGATGCTTTTTGCTCAGTCTCAGTTAGACTAGTTTGAGAACCTCTGTGAAATAAGTTATCAATTGTATTTATAAACAGACATTGAATACTAACATATGATTATATTTTTAACTGCTCTGCAAAACTCTGAACTCGAGTCCTTGGGGTTGGTGCCCGACAACATCAGTATGTGTCTCTGCTTCAGCAAATATGACTCAAGTAATTAGGTCATTAATGGAGCTCTGTCCTCCCTCAAAACTACTTCAACTAGCTTTGCTGTCCCTGCTGAGGTATTCCCACTGACATGATACTGCCACCACCTCTGCTTCATCAGAATGCAGAAGCAGTTTACCTCCACATGTTGGACGAAATATAAAAAATATTCTTTCTCTGCAAACATCTTCATTTATATGTTCTATCTGTCTTCTTCTTTACTTGTAGGAAACCAAACAAGACTTCAATTTACTTTTAGTCATCCATAGGTTTCCTCAGCCGCTGCTCATTTAAAAACTGATTTGTGGAGTGACCAACCAGTAATTGTTCTGTGGACAGATTCTTCCAGTTGTGACATTTCTGCAACTCCCTCAGAGTTACAATGGGTTTTCCCTAAATAATGCATTCCTTGTTCATTATGTCAGCTGAACATTGTTGTCTGGTTTGCAATTGTGGCATACTCTTTTCACTTTAAGATGGTGTTTAGATGGTGGCAAATACGAGAACAAATATTTTGTTTCAGCTGAAGTTTGGTTTCCAGTGTTCTGAGAAAAATCTCTCAGGCCTTCACAGGGAACAACTGCCTATCATGTTTATACCATACGTGCCCAGCAATAGATTATTTGTGTTCCAAGAACATGAGGCAATTGGTTGCTTTATTTTTATTTTTAGGGGTATTGAGTAAATAGAGCTGAATAGATATAAAGGGCAGATATTATGTTGTTTTTAAATACAGAATATCAATATATTAGTTTCTTTATTTGAATATTTGTGTAAAAAGTATAACTAGTTTTGAAGTTCAAAGTGCATGCAAATAAATATGATTTTTACAAAGTTATAAATAACGACAAAACAAAAAAAATAAAAAAGTGAGTAAAGAAGTAGGAACTTTTTTGCTGTGGATGACATTCATGGTCGGAAACTATTCATTGCCGTACCGGGAAGAGCGTTGTTTACAAATAACTTAATAATGTTGGGCGAACATTAGAAATAGTTGACTAAACTCTCGTATTGAATATAACAGTTGATTTTGTGAGCAGTTTGACGGTTTACGCCGAACATCACCGGTATAAATCCTCTGAATGAGCTTTTTTTCAGAAGGGTAAGACTCGCAGTTTCTCTTTTATCGTTGGTGTTTACAATCTGTCAGCAGCAGGCCAATATCTGAGTTCATTTAAACGTGTTTTCCTTTTTTAATGAAGCTAGATATGTTTCATTTCAGTATAGTCGTTCAGGCTACCGACCGAGCTGTCAGTAAAGTGAATGTCTGTTTAATTTGATTCCACTTTCTCTTTAGATTTCTTGAAAAGTGACCTGACCTGGTTCCAGTAGTTAAAACTGAAAGGAACAGTAAGAGGTAATGTATTGCGTTTTAATTATGTTGCCTCACTGCGGGGTTTTCTTATTTTTTGAGAGCTCGGTCTCTAATAAATCAATCTACCAGAAGATATTTAATTTTCATGTTGCTAAACAGTTTAAAATAAGACTAAGGGCAAGTTTCTACATTGTTATTTTGACAATATTGAGATTTTTTATGAAAATTTCAGCGCTGACAGCAACATCGTTTGCTAAATAAACAGAATAATTCAATACATTTTCTCATGTCTTTTAAGTTAATTGTGTTATATAAATATGAACAAATTCTGCCTCTTAAATCAACTTCCCAAATTTGTTTAATACAACTGATATTATTTACGATCCAGTATTGACTAAAATATAGTCTGATAATGGCAATACTAATATTTTGCAAATACACCTGCTGTGTTTATTAAATATCATTAACAGCTCTATAAAAAAAAAAAAAAAAAAAAAGTTAAAGAACAATCCACTGGACTTTGTTTTCCAAGTTTGAAGATGTTTCACTTCCCATCCAGGAATCTTTCTCAATTCAAAATGTCTGGATTAGTGTTGAGTTCCAGTCTTTCTAGAGTAGCCCATAAAAGCCTTGTTATGGCTTAGAAAATGTGCAAATTAAACCGGAAGAACAGGTCCACCCCTTAGTAATGGGGAGTCGTTGAGGTCCGTCAATAGGCCCTGGGCCCCGTAACTCAGAGGCCCCGCGCAAGAGAAGAGAAGAGAAGAGAGTAATTAAACTAAAAAAGCCTTGAAATACTTTCAATCTGCAGAAGGGTCAAAGCAGACCCAAAGGTCCATTTCCCTCTGATAATGACAATCAGTGTTTCTCGGAAAGTGGTTATACCTCTACCACTAATTCCCCCAAATCATACTGCTGTTTCCGTGAGCCTAGCTGGCTTTTTGCCAACCGAAATGACCGTATTACCATAATGCATGGGTTAATGGAATAAAAGGCTGGAAACAGATTTCTACAAAAGTTGAGAAGCAGGAATCTACCAAATACATCTTGGTGCATGCGTTGTCTACGCGCAGTGGAAAACCAGCAGCACAATAGATGCTGGAATGGAGAGGAAGGTGAGTAATGCAGCCTTGTTTTGGAGACAAGTCCTGGAGCTTGTAAGCCCTGCTGCTATGTGTCAGCTGCAAAATGATGTTATAATGTTAAGCTACAATAAAGGGCCTGGTCATTTGCGCTGCCCCCGGCCCGGCTCTGACTTATTCGGTTAGTGATCCAAAGTATAGAAATTTGAATTTAAAAATAGATTTTAGTGCCTAAGCAGCCCACTGCTTAGGCACAAGGGGGGTGGGTTAAATGCAGAGTGAATTTCGTATTGTCATTACACTGTGACGGTGTAATGACAATACAGATGTACTCTACTCTATGTAATTATCAATCTACACATCACAGTATTCATGCATTTAAAGTGCACAGTATGCATTTAAAATGGAGAAATTAGTGCAGCATGCAAGCGTGTGCACTTGATGAAATGTGTGTCATATGGTCAGTGTGTTTAGATCTGAGAGCCCTGATTGTCTTTAGAATAATGTTTTTCTACACATTGAGGAGCTGTAGCTTACAAATAAACCTAAACCCACTTGGTTAGATTAGATTAGAGACAAAAATAGCTGTAAACTTAATCCAATAATTTTTAATTTAGATATATGTTTTTTATGTGTGTATAAAACCTGTGGCAGCTCCAGAAAGATTCAGAAAGATTAAGCAAACAAAAAATGTTTTATCCTAGTCACCTTTTACACCTATAAGGATCAGTTCCATGTAGCCAGATTAATATTTAACATATTTCCATATTTATCCCTTAACTTGTTCCAAATAATACAAACTCTGCTTAATACAATACTGCTTGATGTAAAATCCAAATCATTTAAACTCTGCTTTGCTCCTATCTTTGGAAAATGTAATCTATCAAAGCTGGTTTATGAAATTGAACAAAATTGGATTTTGTCATTAATAATACTAATAAATAATATCGACACAAAGCCATTTTACCATTTGAATTACAGTATTTTATACCTTTACCGATTTGTGTTTTTGCTAAATAATCTGCTAATTTTCTTTGGTTGATCCTGTCCAAAAGGTAAATCTAATCTACTCCCGAAAAATTTATATTTTATTTTTTTTAACAATTGAATCTGTTTTCTCCACTGTTTTGTAAGTGTTAACATTCTTATCTCAGAGATAATTTAACTTTTGTATTGTGCTGTGTTTGTTAGGTCCCTTACTGTATGTGCACATTGCTTTTGTATCTTTGTGTGTCAAAGAGAGTCTTCAACACACAAACATGTTTAGTAACATGTTACACATCTTAGTACTGTCATATTGGATATTTGGAAATAGGTAACGTGTAAGATTTTCTATAGTTTTCCACTGGCAAAAATTGACATTTTACAACATTTTACCTTACATTACCAGGTTGTAATCTATAAAATCATAAATATTATGGTTTAAGGTGCACTTAGAACTGAAATGCATGTACCGGTACTTATTTTGCAGGTAATAATTTGGGATAAAATGGGTTGAGTAGATGACACATGGCAGCGGTTGTATATCTTCACAAATCGTCTTAAGAAATAAGATGTGTTCATATAATGTAATTCACATTATAAATCTATTTTCGATTTTCTGTTAACAAAATTCCTTCATGTGCTTCAAAAAGGAGTATTATCTTAATGTGTCAAATAGCATTAGGGAATCCTGTTTTTTTTGTGTTTTTTTTTTAAGTAAAAGAAAAAAGTAGCTCACCTTTTAAGAAGATATGCGCCTTTCTGTAAAACTAAGAGCAACAGCCAAAATACAATCAAACAATGACATTCCTTCCTTCCTTCCTTCCTTCCTTCCTTCCTTCCTTCCTTCCTTCCTTCCTTCCTTCCTTCCTTCCTTCCTTCCTTCCTTCCTTCCTTCCTTCCTTCCTTCCTTCCTTCCTTCCGTTTTTTCTAATCTTTTTATCTATTTATACCACTTATTTTATGTTCCTTTACTTTCCTTGTGTTTTTGTTTACCATCTTTAGTTTCTTTTTTTGTCTACCTCCTTGCTTTAGTTTGCCCTTTAATTTGTCAGGTTTCAGTTTTTAGAGATGATGGTGTGCTTATTGGGTCATAAGGTTTATTTTTTCGCATTGTGTATTTAATACAGATCAAGCTCTGCCGGTACATGCGGTTTGTTGACACGAGGAGATAAAGCGGAGTGGCTGCAACATAGAAGTTTCACAGAGGGGTCGGCTGTGGGTAACTCTGCAGGACACATGGCAGAGGAAGGCAACAAGTTAACGCTGAGGCGTCTGGAGGGACCCATCAACAAGTTCATTAAAGTAGCTCTGCCCACGGACTTGGACAGGCTGCAGAAACACCACGGCAACATACTGAAGGTCAGGGATTATTTTTGCCATCTCAAATGATCACAACCAGGATGTTGAATCAAAATGAATAAGTACATTTATGATCTTTTATCTTTACAGTATCAACAGTGCCAGCAATGGGAGCATCTTCATTACGAGCACATAAACGCCAGCAGAACTGTTCAGGTGGATTATAAAACATTTAAGCTAAGATGACCTTTTAAGATTAGGAATGTAGTTAATAGGCTTTATTTTTATTCTAACCTACTGCTATGTCCCTTAACCCATATTACTCTTCATCTAATTAATTTATATTGGTGAGAAATGGTCTTAAACTTTGTGGCCATCTAAATGTTGACCTCAACATTTCCTACACTTGTAACAAATGAGTTTCCCAATTTAAAGATCAAAGCATAGTTTAAGGGCAGCTATTGGTTGCCTTATCCTATTAAGCACAGGCAGCAGTGGAACGTGGCCCGCCTGAACGATTCCTAGTAAGTTTTTGTTAATGCATTGTACACTAATTTTCTTCTATATGAGCAAAACTTATATACTTTATATAGTGTGTGTATTTCTATTTTTATACCACAGGTGTTTATACTCTATAAGTTATAGCTTATCTATACTGTAGTAAACTAAGAAAAAGAAGGTTTTTCTTAAGAAAAATGACCTACCAACATTATCTTAAAAAACTTTTTTATCTTAAAAAGTCCATTGAAAAGTTTCTTATTTGAATACAGGATTGATATCTTATAACTTATAAAATGTAAAGCAAAACAGAAATTCCTGGTTGTGACAAACAAAAAATTGTTTTATTTTAACGGTGTTTATAACACACATCCTATCAATGTTCCAGCATTCCTAAAAAATTCCAACAGCTAATGTCTTAAATGTAAATATATTTCACACTCAGTCTGTAGATTATGTTTGATTTCCCTCTCTATAAAATGTAAGGAATTAAAGGAAGTCAAAATCTGGACAACAAGTAAAAGCCATGTCTAGAGAACCGTACCTCCTGCATGTACTTCTTTGCGTGCTTGTTCACATGGTTGGTGTGAAAAGCCTCCTGGGATGATGTTGCCTGGAAGCCTCCGTGTCTCTGAAGGTGAAATGACTCCAAACAGGCACACACCTATCCTCTCACCGTTACTCCACTAACCCCCCTGGGATTGCTCATGGAGTGCTTTCCCATGTCTTCATGGCGGTAATTCAGGGTCGTGTTTGGCGCTCCTGCTTTAGATATTGGTCTGTGTATGTGGGTGTTTTTGAGTTCATATGTCCCATACATAGGCGGGTAGATGGACTCCTCAGAGGAGATGTTTGAAATCAAATGTTTATTCATGCTCCACTCTCTTCTCTTAGCAGTCTTCACTGTGTTACATAGAATATCTCTCCTTTCATGTGCTAGGATGTGTGCTCACATTGCAAACGCGGTTAATTTGCAGGCTAACAGGTGTGAGACGTGTCTGCCTCTCTGTTAATTAGTGTGTCTTTTCCGTTTCATGCACGCGAAGACACGACTGTGGGCGTATGTTTATTCATATTGTATAAGTAAAGGAGTGTGTTACCGGCAGGAGGTTGGCCCACTGAGCCCGGGTCATGCTTTAGCCTGGAGGGTCGATGGCTGGGATATAATCCTTCTGTCACCCTCAGGGCACTTCCTGTGTTCCCCAGCCTCATATCTAAACCTTATTAAGCTCCCATCAACTTGCAAACAACCCGGCACAGACGCATGTAAGCAAGAACACACAGACAGGCCTGGCATTGAATGCACACTGTAAACCAATTACTAAACCAGCTAGAAAACTCCATGATGGTGTCCACTACTGTCAGCTTTTACTGTCTGCATTCTCCAGACAGTTTTAGAACCAGCATATCTCACCTTTGGGCTTCAAAAAATTAAGAAATCTAGAGTATAACTATGTGTTGATTGAATAAAGAACACACATAGTCAAACTTGAAAAAGAAAAACACAAAGTAATGCTTTTATATTATTTTTATTTTATTCTTGTATCTTATCTGTACTTACGATTTTATTTTCTCTTTTCTGTAAACGATTGCACTGCAATACAAGAATTTCCCGCTAGGGATTAATGAAATATTTCTGATTCTGATTATTTTAAAATCTTAGTTGTGTTTTTTTTTTTTTTTTTTATTTAAAGACAGCAGCTTCACTTTTTTTTTAGATCCATTGGTAATGTGGAATCTCACTTTGCAATAATCCATTTAATAAATTATGAAGGCTTTTATTTAATGAGTACCTTTAAGGTTTATTTTGAAAGGCCAATGTAACCCAATTCTGTGGTACCTGGTTTCAGTTCAAATGTTTAATTTCTTGTTTTAATAATCTACACAAGGAGATCAAGCCTTTCTTTTGAATTTTTTTATTTATTTATTTTTAGTTAAACATTTGATTTATCAGTAAAGTGGAGCTTACTTTTGCATTATTCAAACATTTAAGTTTCCTCTTTGATTTAAAGAAGAGCTTACATGCAGCCTTCATTTTAAAGCCCAAATTACTAAACCTACTAATGGTGCATTTGATCCCTTTAGGTGTTTTAAAGTTATTCAAGAAACAATAGAAGATAAATAAAAGTCAGCATTTTTTATTTCAAACATTATCCGATTGTTAGTTGTTTTTGTTTTTTTTAAGAGCTCTGATTTACTTTATTACTTCTGCTTTAAGCCCTTAAGAAATAAATCCTCTTTTGATTACTTTCACCAAAGAAAGTCTTACTTTGAAAGGTATATATGTTTGTCTGCTTTGAGAGAATGCAGCACTTCATGGTCACATTTAGAGTATTTAAAGTAAAGCAGAATCACACAAAATGCAATAATCTGAACAAATAAGTGCTGTTGATACTTTTAGCAGTACCAAATAAATCTAGGTTCCTTCTCCTACCTCTTTTCCTTAATGAACTCTTAAGGAAAAGAGTTATTTAAGAGTTCATAACTACTTTATTTTAGTATGTTTAACATTTTTATGTAATTATTTATTCATTACAAGTTTACCAAATATAATCAAATTTCCCTCTTAGTAACCTTGGAGTCATTTGTCCTTCTGCAGCAACTCAGAGCAAACATCAGAGAGATGGAGAAGCTCTGCAGCCGAGTCCGTCCAGAAGACAGCGAAGCTCTTGAAGCGCTCGTCAAGCCAATAAGGGACAGAGCGTCAGCCGCCGCACAGGACTTCCTGCTTCTGCACTCCAACCCACCTCCGCCTGTCCCTGCAGCACAGCCGGCTGCAAGACCCTCCATCACTCAGTCCAGCAGCTACCATGATGTTGAGGAGCCCATCGAGGACTCGCTGTCGAACAGGCAAATTCAGCTTCAGCTCCCCGAAATCCCACTGGATCAGAATGCGGCTGAATCCTGGGATAACCTGGAGGAGGTACAGTGGAGCGGCTCAAAGTGGGGTCGGCTTATAACCCCCAAAATCTGCTTAGAAAAATTGCAACGTGACTTTTAAAAGATCTGTTCAGTATAGAAAAAAAACAAAAACGTTTTGCAGTTTGTATGATCTTCTTACTCTGAAATGCAAACACCACCTAAATTGTTGGTGTTCATAAAGATATTTTCTGACACATGAAATGGATCTTTTCTGGAGCTTATTTTAATGTGGGTCCAAGGTGGTTTGGAATTAAACTGCCCAATTTATGTCATGTTTTTACCACTTTCTTCATCATCGTGAAAGTATAAAGCAAGGTTTGCGGTGCTTTAGATTTTCTTTTGGGGTCTTTAAGGTGATGTTGGGGTAATTTTTAGGAAGCCACTCCTGTTCTTTGCTCTCCCTTTTAGACTGATGGTCTTAAATATTTAGAAAAACTAATTATTAAAAAATTATATAGATATTAAGAGATATTTTACTTTGTAGCAGCTCTTTATTATGACTTAAAACTTGAACATAAAACAGGAAAGCTGTCTTGCAAAAAAGAAGAGGACTGTAGTGGGGTCTACAGTTTCCCTCATCGTGACGCCGTCTATGATAATCCGGCATGAATAAGGTCTCCGGTGTTGTAGTACATTTTTTCTTCAGATGATACTTTATATTCTCTCTCCTTAGGACCTAAAGGAGCTGAGCGGCTTAGTGACGGAGTTCTCTATGCTCGTCCATGTGAGTAGAAACGCTCTGCAGGCTGCTACACCCACATTTCTGCACTATATGCATTTCTCCATCTATATCTCACCTCCAGTGTTTGCAGGAGACTCTCAGTATGTTTGAGCAGCACAGGCTTGCGTTGCCTGGAAAGACTCCTCAGAGATCAGCTCAGGAGTGAAGGGCCCCAGAGGTCCTAGGCAGGGGCCCGAGGAGAGACCTAAGAGTTCTGCAGAAGGAAGGAGGGAGGATTGCTGGGAGGATAGCAGGTCGTCATATGGGGGAGAAGAGGGATGTAACAGAGCAGGTGGAGAACAGACGGTTCAGATTATCTCTTTCCTCTGGGATGGAAGGAGAGGAGCAGGGAGGCTGAGAGGCAGGAGAGATTAACAACGGTGAGAGTGTGGGTTAAGATGTAGCTGGTTTAAAAAGGAAAAAAAACGCAGGAGTCAAAAAGAGCATAGACATGTAGTGGCGTCTCTAGGGCGAGAGATGCCGTCTGGGGAGAAATATTCCAGCAGGCTGAGCCCCAGCGGAAACACTGAGTGACTGTGTGGTTGTTTCTTTGTTTGTGTCACCTTACAGGCTGAGTTTCTCTGCTCGCCTGCCTTCCTCAGAACTTTCCACCAATCTTTAGTCATTAGATTATCTATTTAGAAAATAGATTTTTTTTTTTAGGTTTTGATGTTGTTAAAGATGAAAGAAACAAACGGTTATCAGTGTTTCTCCTCCAACCGTCGATCGTCCAAGCTTTTTTTCCTCCAAAAATTTTTGACTAATGTTAAATATTTACCAAAACATCGTTGGTTTATTCTAAGATGAATTGGTTATGTAGTTGCCTCACTTTTAGATCTTTTTTATCAAAATTGATTGTATCAACAAAGATCTGACATCTGTTCTATTTGCATTTTGTAAGGAAATGAGGAAAAACCCTAATGGGTTCTTGACAAATATATCAGTTTATGGCAGAGATTCTATGCCTGGCTCTTAGTCTCAGCTTTTATGCTCAAAGACAAAATAAAAACAGCCTTTAGGACGATAAACATGACAGAACGGCTTCACAAAAGTCTGAGGCTCTGCAGGAATGTGCGTAATACTAGCAAAACCATCAGAAAAAAACAGGAAGTTTCCTTTAGTGCTGTAAGAGCAGGTGAAGGTGGCACAGGGTTGACTCTAAGGAGGAAGTGGAAACAAAGGTAAAGCTCTGCTCTACTTGTTGTTTGGCCCCTGTGTCCATTCAGTCCTCACATGGAGAGAGAGACAGCTGCCTTTCTGAATATTTCATGAGATCCACACAATAGCGCTCACAGTTGGACTAAATCCCAGTTCTTATATACCTACACCAGCCTCACGTGCTTTTGCGTATCATTCTGTAGAGCAGAATTTGTTTAGGTGAAAAAAGAAATCTTTGAACACAACAGGTGGTGACTTCAGCTGAGTGTGTGTGTGTTTGTGTGTGTGTGTTGGAATATGATTGTGTTTTAATGTGCACACCCTGCGCTTCAGTCCCAGCAGGAGAAGATTGACAGCATAGAGGACAACGTTGACGCAGCAGCAGTCAACGTGGAGGAGGGGACCAGGAACCTGGGGAAGGTGGGTGTTTATGTATCTGTGTTTATGTCCTGATGATCCCCTGTGGGTGGGTGTGTGTTGATGTGTGGGTCTGCGTGGTGTTTGGGAGATGGGGAGATCGATGGCACTTTGCCTCCCAGCCATTCCACAGCGTTTGTCCCCATCGATCCCTTCGAATATGGAGGAAAGCTGCAATTAAGGAAATAGGGAGAGGAGGGGAGGGGGGAGTGATAAAGACGTTGGATAACGGGGCTAACAAGGCAGGACCTACATGTTGGTGCATGTGTGCAAGATTTAAATGATTGTTTCATCATTTCCTCAGCAGTTACTCCATCCTGTAATGTAAACTAGAAGACAGTCACTGCCCTCCGTATGAATCTCATACGTCTAAAGGTTTTTAGCCTAGCGTGATTTTTCTCTACATTAATTAAACAACTCTTCCTTTAAACCTAAGTAACACACTGGTTTAAAAGTTTGCCTCTCGAGTTAAACTTTTTTTTTTTTTTTAAGGCAGCTCATCATCAGTATTTGTTTTGATGTTTATCTTTTGTTATAAACTTCAACATTTTAAATATAGGAAGTTATTTGTGTTGTATTGGTTTATATATATAAATCTTGTGTAGCTGGGTGATACTCACTGATACTTTGCTTTCATTCTAACTTTTATTACCGCTAACTCCTCCGTTATTAGCACGTAAAAGCTCTGAACCATTTTTTGCATTTACTTAATCATATTTCATTACTTTAACACAATTGTTTCATGTTAGCAGGGAAGGACATAAAACAATTGTGTTAAAGTAATGATATATGATTAAGTAAATGCCAAAAGTGGTTGCATTATTTTTTTCAGCTGTAACATTATACCACACACAGCTTTTCAGCAGTGATTGTTTTTCCTGTCCCACCAACATGTGAATCTACTTTAATCTTAAAGTTGATTTGGGGCAAGTTTTGGAGAGTAGCTGATCACAAACCAAACATATTTGCTCTATCTGATTGGATGTGTTCTTTTATCTCTCCCATTTTGAGGGATGCCCAAAGAGATTATGAATCTATTTGACATCATATTTTTACCTTCAGGAAAGCGGAATAGTAGGAGGAAATTTACTGCGAGTGCTGCGTGGCTCAGTGATGGAGCGGCTGCACCAGATACAGCAGCTACTCTATAGTCCGAGACCCAGCTATCTCTGTTTCAGTTCCTGCCTGGGCCTCCCCCAATGCACGCCTCCCCTCTTCCTCTTTGCCCTGCATCCCGTCAGACTACTAATGAATAAAACCACTTCTGCAACAATATCTTTTTTTAAAATGCTATAGTTGCATTTATGTCATGGAAATGGTTAAAATGCACTTGTGCTTTTTTTTGTGAATTAATTCTTAAAGGTATAGTGGAGGATGTTCTTTTTATCTGGTTGAATCACCAAAATAAGTGGTCCTCCTAATTGTCAATCATTGCGGTGATATGTTGATGTAAGGCCATCCTATGTGCTCGTCCCCACTTTCACTTAGCGGTGGTGAGTCTGATATAGTGGAAAAATTATAAATCTTCTTTTGGAAAGTAAGCTTGTATGAGCGATGCAAACAGTAACTTTTAAACAAGGCGTGCACGAGGAGAAATGGGCTCCTGCATGCTCTCGCACGCGTTTAATAGGCGTTCCCTCTTAGGAGCGGATACAGGGTTGTTCATGTGCATTTTTTTTAAGTGCAGAGGGCACTTTTGTTTTTCTTTTTTTTTTTTTTAGACTCACAAAAATCCTCCACTATACCTTTGACTTTATTAAAACATTTTAAAGTTCTAACTCTTGATCAACTGGGATGCAAATTTTTGTGGATACTTTCATTAGATCCAGGTAGTTGCATTTTGTAGCCTAGGGTTTGTTTTACTTTAGGGATATAATGCATTTAAAATAAAGTGCTACAGGCAAAAATATCTACCTTTTCAATTTAATAAAACATTATTTTAGTAGCCTTTCAGTTCTGTTTAAACACCATTCTCTCACCGCTGTCTTCTTTAATAGAAGTAATCACATTAATATGAAAATTAACCCAAAACCCTGTATTTGGTGGGACAAGCTTTTCATGAAACTTAAGGGTCAATATAATAAGATAAAACAATGATTTTACATTGATGTTTTTCAAAGAAATTTTGCAGGAGGTGAAGACAAACAAGCAAACGGTTTCCCTGTCATGTGAGGCGGCTGGGTGGGTGTAGAAAGCTGCACAGTAGAGGTTGCTGAGAGATTAAACAGATGAGAGAGGTGTCAGATGTTTCAACGTGTTTGAAAGCTTGTAATCTATAATCGGGTCAAACACTATTTTACACACACAGACTTATATATACAACCCGCTCATTTCCTCCCTCCTCCATGACTTCTATAGCCAGAGTCCTTTTAACTCAGCTCAGATGAAATTAAAATTCCCTCTACTGCCACAGGGGTGTGGACCAGCAATGCTGGCTTTTGAACTAGATTAATTTAATGGTGAAGTGTTAATCAAGTGAGTGTGTGTGTGTGAGGATGGTCAGAGAATCAATCATTAATTGCCATCAGCAAAAAGCACCTTCTACTCTGATGATAACCGCTGTAATAACACATGGCCCACATCTCTCTGATTTCTCCTAAATGAAGATAGTTAAAAAAAGGCTTTGATGCAGCTGTGGAAGCGAATGTTTCTATTTACACATGCAGGCTTGTTGGTGTTTTTTTTCCTTTAAGCTTCAAGCTTCTGTGTATTGATGAGTGATCATGAAAGGGTAGATGCATGCACACTCTGTCACAGGGTGCCTTTAAGCCACAATGTCTTGATGTCTCTAAAGGTGTGCGAGGTAAATTAAAACCGAAGCGTATCTCTTCTTCTTGTCTCTCGAGGCGGTTGGCTACAAGCTGGCTATGCTGCCAGTCGCCGCGGCTCTGCTGGGCGGTGCATTAGGAGGTCCTCTCGGCCTGCTGGTTGGATTCAAAGCTGCCGGGGTGGCTGCTCTGGGAGGGAGCGCCCTCGGCTTTGCAGGCGGTAACCTGGTCCGCAAACACCGCCAAGCTCAAGTGGACCAAGGGATGGAACGACTGACGCTGAAAGAAGGGGAACAACCTGAGAGAAATAAAGACAAATGACCCACAAGATTCTTCTATGTGGACTGAAAAGACTCGGCGTTAGACAATGTGTGCACTTTGACCTGATGTTATTAGGAGTTGAAGTTCTGGAGCTTCATGTTCTCTCATCATCAGAAGGAATAACTCGCTGTAGATATTTTTATTTATATTTGTCCCAGAGTGGACTACAAAAAAAAAAAAAAAACACAACTTCAATTAATTTTTAAAAACATTAACTGAAGCACAAAAATTTACTTTTTTTAAATCCATGCTCACATACAAACTCAAACTTATACATACACCTCCACATAAATCTTTCCCAAAAGTTATTCTTCAACCTCAGAGTTTTTGGCTGGATATTAAACAGGTCTGCTATTTATAGACGGTAAAGCTGGTTGAAGGTTGTTGGTTTCCTGGCACAAAGCTCACAGGTTTCCTATAAGTTTGGTTTTTGATCCAGTCCATTTTTTATTTGTTCTTTGTTTGGGATGATTATACAATGAGGTTTGTCTTAAGATTTAATCATTTAGCTGCTGAATTGAGTTAAAGTAATAATTAATAAAAAAACAAACATCACCTTCATGATTCTACCACTTCCATGTAATAAAGTGAGTGTTTCTGTTCGTCTGAGGAAGACAGGTTACCGGTAATACCGCTTTTAAATTTGGTCAAACTGACTGACATCAGTCTTTTAAAGCATCATCCTAACTAAACTTAATGTAAAATGTATGAACTATGATCAATAAAACAATGCCTGTGGCAGGAAGCCAGAAACTGTAAATTAGTGCTACAATTACAGCAAAGAAAAGCAACTAAATATTTTGTCCAAATCACCCCAGGAAGAAAGCCTTAGGTCGAAGTGCCTTTTTCAAAAATGTTGTAGCTGCTGTATGTATATTTTTAAAACTTTACGTATCAAGGCAAAGTCTAACTTGAAACCACATTTGTCTTGGGCGTTGGCCAATCGTTTCAATATTAGCTCAAAATGTCCAGGCAATAAAAATATCCAGGTGTGAATGGTTTCCTATTTAAGCTGTGTTTACAGACAGTAACACAGCAGACTACAGCTTATAATTGTTGGATTGAATGTATCTTTTCTTTTATCAATAGAGATGTAGCCTTGTATGAGAGATTCATCTTAGCTCGAAATATTTTGTTCCAGTTGGTCAAATATCCACATTTTTTGTTTCTTTTTTCACATGAAGGTTTTACTAATGTCTTTTTCTAAGTATTTTTGTATCTGGGAAAATGTGAACAGCTGACAGTTCATGTGGGTAAAACAGCTTTAAATTAAAGAAGCAATTCTTATATGTATGCAGTGATGTACCACTAATGGTGCCAAAGTCCAGACCACTTCAGACTGAAATGTTTGAGGTTGGCATACTACTTCTGTCCAATAAAAAAAATTATAAAACAAAATTGTTGTTCATTGGATAAACTGATAATAGATTTATTTAGACACAGTATTCATTTTGGATGCATTTTAGCTTTACTGCCAATAAACCTTAATCAGGGTGTGCTGCCCCCTCTGCATTATGCTGCTAACAGGCTTTTAAGTTTAGGATTTTTTGCTTTTATGCTTTACCAGAAAATAAAAATGTTCTAATGGCAGAAGTAGTGGGCATTCATCAATATAGGGTGTCTTAGTAATGAGAAAATAGAAGCAAAGTAAAAAAAAAGTATTTTTCACCTAATTGTAGTCCGTTTTATATTAAAAATGATGCAATCGAAATAAAAACATTACAATATCGAAAATTTGTGCAAAAGAAACACTTCAGATTATTTAACATGCACATGGAGACCAGTAAGTAATGCATTTATATTAGGAAAAGATGAAATGTTGACAAGACCTAGTTTTTTGCAATTTCCCTTGATATCAAATAGCTCAACTTGTCGTAGGTAAACTAGAAATGTTACTCAATATTACTGCAGTAAATTTAAAAGGTAAAGTACAGCTCCTAAAAGTACTCTTATTTTAAACGTACTCAAGTAAATCTAGCAAGTTACTACACACCTGTTTTTATGTAATGTAATTTATTGTAAAAAATATATATATATATATATATAAAAAAAAGGGGGGGAGGGGTGCAGGAATAATAGAGTTCAGACACAAACAAGTCTGTAAAACCTTTTTTATTTCATTTTATCTATTTTTTTTGTTCTCATTCACCTCTGAGATGAGTGATTGAAATATGGCATCAGACCCCTTACCCCCCTTGTTTCTTTGTATGTGGGCAGATATGTCTCAATGCTAGTCCTACATTGAAGGTTAGGACACGCAACACAAATGAGCCCCACCCCGATACAAGCATGTTCAAACCGACGTCTTGATTCTCTGAAATACGAGAAAACCTTATAGACGTAGAGACAAATGCAGTTAAAAAAAAAAAATCGTACAAAGTGGCAGGCTTCATTTCCACCATTTTTACCGTGTGGGGTTTCCTCCTAAAAATGCTCGACTCTTAATGTCCCCCACCGCCAACCATAAGGGCACACAGACAACAAATACACAAATTCATGATATCAATGGAAATCATGTAGAAGCCTTTTATAATCTCTCTGCGACTTATTTGAAAAGAATTTGGGTCTTTAACTCAAATTAAGCTTTATCCCCACATCATGATGCTGCCATTACCGGCTATTTTAATTGCTGATTAATGGTTTGGGATTTTGTGTTATAGCAGAAATCTTAATTGGGTTGTCCAGGGAAAGTCTGATTACCGGTAGCTTGAAATAAATTGATTAATTAAGTCCAATGTGGCACCGTACTGTAAAAAGTAGAACATAAAAATATCTAAAGGGTATTCTCATTAGCATCTGAACAGACCTCATTAGCCATAACCAAAATACAAACAGTACCAGAGAGAGGAAAAAAGGCATATTACAAAAGGATGGAATAGCTCAGTTTCTTGTCTCAGTTAGAAATGTTGCTACTCCTACAAGCTGTTTTTAATGTCGGTATGATGAAAAGAAATTAAAATAAAGCTACTTTAAACAGGTATTTTTTCTTTCTTTTTTTTACGTGTGCTCTATAAATGAAATCAGACAGAAGTTGATCGTGTTGAGATGCAGCCATGAGGTTAATGATAGTAAAGGATCATCTTGTATGGAGACCAGGCTAAATTTGAATAAACCACAGATCAGGACCGTACAAATGGAGTGAGGACAGTTCGTTGATCATCATGAAAAAGAGACTGAATAAAATAAAGAAAACTCTGCATTTAACTTAGACCGATATTGTGATTCCAACGTAGCAAACATATTTACAACCTCCAAAGAAATAAAAGTAAACTTCTCTTTAAGTCCTAAATGCCCCATACCCCCTGACCAAACACATCTGCTTCTTATTACCAATCCTGCTGATTCAAAATAAAAAATTGCATGGTTAAGTTATGAAAATATAGATTACTCCAACATTGTTGTGTTATGGACAGCACTCTCCCTCCCCCCCACCGCTTTATGATCTTCGTTTGTTAACTTTTCAGTCTTCCTTCTTGTCCATTCTCAATTTCTCTAGTAAGGGTGTTGGGTGTTATTCTTCTGTCCTGCTGGCCTGTCCCAACCCTGACCCCCTCCCTGACCCCGGGGCGTGGCATTGAGTCTCAGGATCTCTGAAAGGCTGTTCAGGTCACAGCTCGTCACGGTCCCGTCTGAGGATGGTGTAGCGGGTCTCGCTTGGTGCCAGCTTCTGGAATGAGCTCTCTGGGGGATTGCTGGCCAGTTCTTTGCCTGTTTCCTCCTTAAAACCAAAGTAAGATGCAATCAAAACGGGAGCATTTCAAAATGATAAAAAGAAAATGAATAAAATCTTGTGAACAGAGTTAAGTGAACCCTGTGGCCCACCTGTCCAGGCGTGCTGTCTGTGGGGTCAGGACCATGGTGGAACTCTCTGTGAAGCTTCCCAGAGTGAAGATCCAAAACAAACTGTTTTAGCTTTCCAGGAACACTAAGGAGAAGAAAAAAAAAAGAAAACAGATGAAATATGCATTTAGCCAAATTTCCATCAAATTCCCATGCAAATTCTTATGCGAATTTTAAGCAAAAAGAAATTGCTACTTAGACATAAGAGATCAAGGTAATGAACACTGAAACTGAAGTGAAATATCTGCATGTTTGTGGTTTGTACAGCGGAATAGCAAATAAAAAACGCAGTAATGGTAAAACAAAAGAAAAGAAGCTATTTTGAATTTTAAGGTAAAAATTGTTCAACCCTAGCTTGGATTAGCAGACCTTTATGAAAGAAATAAAGTCAGATACCAACTTCTAACAATTCTTATCCTGGGCAATAATAGATTTTCATTATTTTTACTTTAAATATCTTCAACAATAAATTGCTTCCAGAAATTAAAATGGCAAAAAGTGTTGACCTTCTAGTATTTTGTGCTACACAGCTCTGTAACATGACAACCCCTGCTGAGCACAAAGGCTGGGGTTCCCAAAATATTTGGAAATACGCTAAAGCATGTAATACAGCACTGAATTTCCACAGTGCCCGAACCATACAATTTCAAAAACAACAGGAGAGCACGATGGGTGAAACGTTTGCTGTATGATAAACGTTGCGCTACAAGCTAAACTGTTAAAAAACCTAACTCTCTGTTCATAGTACTAATGTGTGCTGTGATGAAATTAGCGTATGTAATTAGATAAAAGCAGCTAGACTTGCTCTAATGCTGTTTTGACTTGCATAATCAAAGAGTATTTTGTTGCAGGTTATTCATTTTATACACATACAAATTGCTGCTGTGGGATTTTTACAGGTGTAATTTGCGCTGGTGAATTTAAACCAAAAACAATCGCAAAAGCTAAAAAATTCAATGTTTAAGAAAGGTCTGATTCCATGCCTCCATTCTTTTGCAGACCTTTTAGACAACAGAAGAGAAATAAATATTGGAAATGAAAAGATTTTTCAATTCACCGTTTTATTTTTCCTCACTTATTTCACCTTTGTAATATTTATGTCATCTTTCATTCTTACCTATTTTGTATGGAAAGGCAGTTCTGAAGAGTGAAAGAAATGAATTGTTCTATTATCAGCATCATGTTTTTATTTCAAACATTCCATCACTTTATCCATAACAATGAGGTGCAGCCCAGAGTTAACCAGCGCTATTAGACGGAACAACTTGTGGCAGCAGTTGATGCCTTCTGTTGAAGCATGAAAACAGATCAGATCTGGTTGGTCAAAGTGATGTTGAGGGTTGGAAATCTGCTGGTGCCATGTCACATAGGCAGCTCTGACCCAGGGTTTAACTTAACTGTGTTTATGGGTGTCAGATCAGGACACACTTAAGCAAACAAGTATATATAACATAATGTGCTAATGTAATTAAAGGCTGTGTGCTACGCATGCAGAGCTGTTGTAATGAAATTAGGTTGTGGAGGATCTAGTAAGGTCCTCCAGGCTACGGTCTATCTGATCAGACAATGATTGTAGGGGGTGTGGTGGGGTTGGGGGGTGGCTGAATAAATAAGATTAAGTTAGATTAGACTGGATTAGTTTAGCACTTATTGCACGTGCCAAATCATGTCACATTAGCTCCGGTGTCCTGGCCCATTAATAAAGGGAAAATTTTAGGAGGTTTGGCATTTCTCTGCAGCTCAGAGCATAGCAGTGTGTATGTGTTGAGTGATAAAATTCATTTGGTTCTGAACAGATCTCATTATAAACAATTACAAATGGGTGAATAATGCTCCATGCAACTCATTAATCAGAGCAATTTAAAGGAATGTTTGATGTCGGTCACTGCTTGAGAATTGAATTGTGCCATTTCAGCTAGATTTTTATGAATGTTTATTAGACCTTACTGACCTTAAAGGGATAGTTCGGTATTTTTGACATGAATCTGTATGGCATCCCCATCACCAGTGTCATGCAATCACACTGACTTACCCCTGGCAGCGTCCTGTGAGCAGAGTTCTCGTCCAGTTTTGGTCAAGCCGAAAGTAGTCCGGCAGGTTTGCTAGAGCCAGCGAAATAAAACGTTTCTCTTCCCAAAACATTATGTGTTCAAAAGAGCGATATTTTTGCATCCCAAAAACGTTGTAGTGGAAAAAGTCACACGTCGTTATCAATTGGTCCTATTTTCTCTCTGTTCGTATCAGTGCGCGCCGTCATTCAGACAGCGAGCTCAACAACAGCCAGATGCATGTCTCCCTCCGCCTAGCTCCTAGCTGGGCGGAGGGAGACATGCATCTGGCTGTTGTCAGGTTTGTAGGCCCTAGCTGTCTGAATGACGGCGCGCACTGATACGAACAGAGAGAAAATAGGACCAATTGATAACGACGTGTGACTTTTTCCACTACAACGTTTTTGGGATGCAAAAATATCACTCTTTTGAACACATAATGTTTTGGGAAGAGAAACGTTTTATTTCGCTGGCTCTAGCAAACCTGCCGGACTACTTTCGGCTTGACCAAAACTGGACGAGAACTCTGCTCACAGGACGCTGCCAGGGGTAAGTCAGTGTGATTGCATGACACTGGTGACGGGGATGCCATACAGATTCATGTCAAAAATACCGAACTATCCCTTTAAATCTCTAGTTTTTTTGTCATTCCCAGTTTTAGGTAATTCTGGTTTCTTTTAAAGAAGTGTAATCAGTAGCTCTGAAAATTTAATATTTTCCAGCCTTGCTGCAATGACTGCTTATTTGCTCTAAGAGCAGAGGTAATGTAACACAGAACAATCGAAATAAGTGTAGAACAGATTTCTTTATTCCCATTTAAAAGCAATGCAAATGTTTGAAACAGTGGGATTTGCTACTAGTGAGTCTGGACTAGAGGTTGTAAAGTAACATGTGTAGCAATGACTTAAGATTTCAAAAACACAAATGAACCGTTTTTATTTAAACTCTTGACTATGCTTTGCAAGTGCTGCAGCCAAAGTGGATTTTGATTATGATGTGATGCACATATCCTGAAACAGTTTTGTACTTGGAAGTCAGCAAGAGGTTTCTGAAGAGTTGAAGTTAGAAGCTACTTTTCCACAAACTGCTCTTTTCCTGTCTGAACGCCTAAACCTGAGAGAAATACATTATTGCTGTCCTATAATGTTATTATATCATTTAGTACCTAAAGGATCAGAGAACGCTGATTTTCCAACTGGTAACTAGAAGGCGAATCAACAAGCACAGCATAATTAAAGTTATTAGCCAACCGTAACACAGAGGAGTGTTGTCGGTGCTTTAACAGAACAAGAAAGGAATATCTTGTGTTCACCTCTTTAAATTACTGGTAACTGTTTTATGTGCAAATACGAATTTGACATTTAATTTCTTCTAAAATTAGTTATAGATTAGTATTTAACACATTTTGAATCATTTGGAATGACTCCATACTTACGCGAGGTCTTTGAAATCAGGGAAGACATACATGTGCCTAAACGAGTCGATTGCAATGACAGGACAGTCAGCAGGGGTTTTCTGGATGTGGAGCAGAGGATGGCGGAACTTATCACAGTCCGCATGAAGGAAGTTTATAGACCCTGAAGATGGTGCAAAAATGTCACAAACGTCATTTTGCTGTGTAGAAAGTATGAGGGAATAAAATATATCATGTACTGTATATCAAGCTACATTATCTATATACTACAAAGCCCTACCTTTCTCACTGATTAGCTGTCGGGTAACTTCATTTTGGAACTTTTCTAAACTGTCCGAGTCTTCTTTAAGATGAAACAAGATAAGGAAGGGAAGCCCTTCTTCTGTCAGCTCCTGGAGATCACACACATGCACAGGGAAAGGTTTAAAGGTGGGTGGAGGTCAAGGGGAAGTCAGGGCGATGGACAAAAAACATGGATTCCTGACTTCCATTCTAGCAATCACACAAACTGATGTGTGTATAATTATATGCAATAGAAAAAGTGCCAGAAAGAATCCTTGAAGGAACAAACCTCGCCATTTTCAAAGGTGATCTCCCTAACTAGAGGCACGCACTTGTCCTGAGCCCAAGCGTATGTCAGGTCGAAGTTGGTGAGGGAGCCGAGGTAGACCAGGTCAGGAACGCCCTCGCCCACAGGTTTGTAGATTACATTGTCTCCGCTGAAGCGCTCAGACTGTGACACGGCACTGAATGGATAGAAGTTAAAAAAGCATGTATGAGGGAAAACAGTAAAGGAAACAGAAAAGATGGAGATGTAGAGATGGCAGTGCGCTCACCCAAACGCGGCTAAGAAGGTGCAGTCATCTCGCAGGATGTTGGCAACTTTTTCATAAGTGTGATAGTTATCAGAGTCCTTTGTCTCAAAGTATCCGATAATGTTTCTTTTGCTTCTCTGTTGAATTACAATGTAGGACAAGTCTTTAATAGAGCTCCTTGGTATTTACCCACAATGATATAAAGAATCCTAAGTGAGGTAACAGAATGTGTGGATTTAGCACTTACATCTATGGTATTAACCTCCTCAATGGAGGGCATCTCCTTAACTGGGTTGACCTGCTGCTGACGGATGAAGTCAGCGATGGCTGTCACTGACCTCTGACCCCTGTACTCCCTCTTCATCATCATTCCATTGCGAAATAGCTTCAGCGTTGGATACTTGGTAATGCGGTAACGCTGAGCTATATCGGCTACACACAGAGGAATGGGAGGAGCAAAGCAAAGACGAGTAAATCAACTGATAAAGAGCGAGATGCTGAGGAGGAAAAAAACAGCACATGGAGATGAAGAGCGGCACAGTGACAGAGACAGCAGTTAAACCAGAGTCTAAAAGCACAGCCCCTCAGTCAGCCCCGAGCTCTGATCTCCCACATGAAAGCCCCCCCGCCAGGAGTAAATATTCTCGCTGCACACAGTGAATGGGTGTGTGTGTGCATGCGTGGCAGGTGTCAATCTCTCTGCGGGGAGTCTCTAAGCTTCCAGTCTTCACAGGATGGAGCAGTTTTGTCATTAGTCTTCAAACAGTTTGCAGGTCATCAATAATTCTCTTTAATTTGCTTTATCTCTAAAGGCTGAAGCTGGCAGCTTACGTATGGGAGCTCTGCTGTGATGGGCATCTCTGTGTGCACATGTGCATCAAATATAGTAAGAGCACAGGTGTTAACCTCTTATTTTCTATGTAAAGAATTCTAGAATTTTTTGGCAAATTCTCGTTGCTAATGCCTATGCTAAAAAACTGATCAGTACGGGTGTCCTGATCCAATATTAATAACGGTCCATTAGCCAAAAAACTAATATTGAATTTTATCAGCCTGCATCTGAAATCTCCAATATATTCATGCTGATAGAAACACTCCTGTTAAAAGTTTCTGTAAGTAATTGGTTATTTTACTAGGGTCAGTTGTTTTCATAGCTTCAGTTGTTGACTTTTGTTCCTTGGTTTAGTAATATTACTTGATCAAGCCTTTTCTAACATTCTATAGTATAAAATAAGTAATAGAAGCTGGTAGGATTCATAGAAATATCATTTGAGGTAAATATCAGTATCGGCCAAATCCCATAGGCAATATTGGTAATGTATCAGAAATGAAAACTTTGTATTGAGACTGATCAGAAATATAAAGTAACACTTTTTTTAAATTAAAGCTAAACCTTGTAACTGAGACAAAACAGTTATTTTTAAATTTGCAATGTCTTTGAGATATTATTTGCATCTCAGGTTGAGCTTTTCCTTTTTCTTTGACATTCTTTTTCCCTGTAAGTGGATGACTATGCCACGCCAGTTTTCATTTGTCACCATAACACTGATAATCAGGCCGCTACTCATTTTTGATGAGCTCATCAGCTCTATGACTGACATCTGGACTCCGTCCCCCAGAGCTTTGTCCAGCTCATTTCAGCACACATGCTGGATAAACAGAAGGTGTCAAAATTACACTAAAAATCTGCCCGATACGGTGGTTTAATAATAGGTGTAACAACAGTGGAAGTGGTGCACATTTACAGCCTTATGTGCATATGTAAAGGCTAAAAAGCACTGGGAAAACAGTGCTGAAAAGACAAACCCTAATTTGTTCCCTACACTCTATTACCTATAAATGCTTGGAACTATATTTTTTTTTAGTTAAAGACTGATTCTTACTTTTTAAGTCCCAACAAAAACATTGAAAAAGATTTGACTGTATATGACCTCTAAAACAGGTCCATGACAGACCGGGCACCCATCAAGAGCCTGACAGTTTTTACACCAAGGATTAAAATGCTTAACCTATCCCAGTGAAATACCATCCCCATCTTTTTTTGTAACAAAAAGACAAAAAAAAAACTCTCCACAATTATCCAGTTATTATTTAAAAATCTGGGCTGGTGCAACATTCATGAAGAAAAATGTGTTTGTATGTCTCATGGGTACTTTATAAGTTGTATTTTTAGTAACATCCTGAATAGAGTTAGAGAAAACACAACATAAAGATAAGAAAGATTTTACTCACAATGTTGGTCACAATCGACTCGAGCAAACACCACCTGCTTGGTATCAGGGAACTCCTCCCTCACAATGTTTGACGCCTCTTCAAAAATCGGATGGAGCATTTGACTAAATCTACACCTGCAGAAAGTTTAGATGAAAGGTCAATCAGCACAAACTGGATGTATATAAAGTACAAAGAAAATAAAAAGTCAAAAAAGAAATTACATGGTAAATCTAGGAGATAGTTGTATAGTTAGTGTAATGAAAGAGGGACAGGAAGCCAAAAACTTAGAAAAAATGTCCATTATAACAGGACTAAAAAAGTACAAAAAGGTCTAAAAGCTGGAAAAGAAGAAAATATTACTTACCAGTCTGCGTAAAAGTTGACTAAGGCTACACCAGCATTATCTATAAGAAGAAAACACAAAGTCATCAGATCTGTACATTTATATGAAAACAACTCTATATGTTAAAACTCATAACTGCATATGTTGATTTAGGATATCTCATCTTAAATCTAATAATTCACTCATCTAAGTATCACATGAGTAACATATCACATAAGTCATCATATAGTAATAATAATTTTCTTCTTTTCATGACTCAACTTAAAATTCAATACCTATACGCCTGGTGAAATAAAGCGTACATTTCTGAAATCATAAAATGATAAATGTTTAAAATCTACACTTCTTATTTTCTGATCAGTTTAATAATTCACTCCCTTTATCTTTCAGACTACTTTATACTTGTTTACGCCTCCAGCGAAATCTCCATTGCTATAAATGCAAATAGATTGTCAGACAACATTTAAATACCCTCTAAACGGCATTATTCCTTCTACATTGGCTGGGCAATGTTAAAATATGTATTCACAGCCCTGCTTGAAAGCTCCTATTTTATTATTTTACAGAGTTTTCCTTAAATAAATGTTATAGTCTAGTTCAATGGCTCTTAAGTTCACTGAAAAAAAACAATGTGCATAACAATTTTGAACTCAAATATGAAAGCTTTTGAAAGAGAAAATAAAATAACGATATTTAAAACAAAGTTGCACATTCTCAGTTTCCATATGTAATACAAAGAGAGCAAAAAAAAAAAAAAAAACAGGAGGTGGGGTTGCTGCAAAAGTCAACATTGCAAAAACCCAATGAAACTGTGGGCAGCCATGAATATTATCATTAGTATTATTATTTCTGGTAAAACAAAATAAATAAATAGATATACAATTTGCTTAGATAAAAGCATATAACTGTATTGACTAAAGCTAAATTAAAAGAAAAAAATATGCACAAAAGCAGTATCAGTATAAATACAATGGCCAAAACTGTTATACTTGTTGCCGCTAACAACACAATGTCTTACTTAGGACATCGTCGATGTTGGATGAGTCCAAACTGACGATTTCTGTTTGCCCTGGAGTAGAGAGGCCCATCACCTGCAGACAGAACATTGGTTAATTGAAGCTGAGCACATGATAGGAAAAGATGGATATAGGGAGCTAAAACCAATATCACCTCTAAAAGTGAATCAAAGGTTGTTGCATGCACGTCTCTGGACCAATAACATACTAATAGATTGTTACAGTCATTCTTATCAACTCTGCATTGGTAAAATTTACACATCTTCCCTTTCTTCACATTTTATTTTAATATATCCTTATTAGATAATGGAAAATTACTTTACACTCTAAATTTCACAAATATTATCATATTATATAACAAACAGTTAATTTGGCTAATTTGTTAAAAAAAAAAAAAAGCTGACAAGTATTTAAGTATCCACAGATTTTGCTAAATACTTTGTTCAACCTCTTTGATAGGAAATACTGACTCTTTTACTAGAGAGTGTAATAATAACAACTAAACGTGTTATTTATAATATTTTATCATTGTTCTTTGCAGAAACACTCTAGCTCCACTAGGTTGTATAGGAAGTCCTGATACAGACATTTTTCAGATCTTTCCAGCGAGGATTATACAGGTATACGTCTGCGATGTCGCTGGTTCACTCAGTGACGTTCACAGACTCCTTCGTAAACCACTCCTTTTTCTGCTGGAAGATGAACCTTGACCCCATACTAAGGTTGTTTGGAGCAGGTTATTGCCAAAGATGTCCCTGTGCAATGTTATTATCAACTTCCCCTGAAGCTTGAGTAGTGTCCCACTTCCTGCTACAGAATGACATCGCTCTCAGTTTGAACGTTAACACCCATTTCATTGTTTAATCACTTAGTGATAAGACGTGTCTAGTAAATATAATGCCTAGGATTCAGGCCAAAGAGGGGAATCTTTTATTTCATTTCATCAGCAGATAAATATTTGAACTTTTTTCTTTCTTCAAAGAGCAAGGATGGGGCTCTGCTAGAGCGACCAGCGGCTTGTTGGTCAGCTAATACTGAGGCTCTTTTACTACAGTCATTCAGAGTTGTTTTGAGAGCCAACTATAGGAAGTGACATGGTGGATCCAAATCAGTTTAGAAGGACCACTAAGCTCAATAGGACCTTCAGTACTCCACACCCTTTTTACCATTCTCTCAGGATATATGCCTTGATACAATACTGTCTTGGAGGCCTACAGACAAATGTTGGAAATCACAGCTATTTCATCTTGGCAAACAATTATTGACACAATTATTTTGTGCGCCAAGATGAAGTGTCAACTGTGGGACATTATGTTGTTGGCTTTGTATTTTTTTTCAAACCACATTTAATCAACCAAATCTATTACTGATAGTATTGAGACAATTTACAGAAATATTTTAAAGATAAATCGCAGAAATAGAAACTGCACCTGAGTTCACATCTCATAGCAAAGTCTGTGGGCAATTATTAACATAGGTTTTTTTTGTTTGGTTTTTTTGTTTTATCAGTAATACATTTGCAAAAATATCTGAAACAATAGTTTTAAAAACCTCGTCTTTAAGAGGTAAACTGGACAGAGATTGTAGTGGAAAACATTTATCCAGAGTTCCTGTGCCAAGCAAAGTTTTGAGTTTTATTTTGAAGATGAAGCATCAGTTGCCTTATTGGCATTCAGTTCTTTAAAACAAAGCCCTGATATCTTAAACCAGAAGTGCAGGTTTTGAAAACATGCAGGCTCCGCATTGGATTATCAAACTAAGAAAAACAATAAACATGATGACACTCCCAACTTAACTTTGACTATAATTACTAAATTAGTTGTTGAAGCACTTGTTTTATGTAGCTATAGCGCATGATAAGATGCTTTTTTTAGTTCAATGTTTTACTAAAGATGGTCTATTTAAGTGCATTAGCATTTAACACTTAAAAATATACACCTAACGCCAAACGATAGACTAAAGCCCATCATGTCAAGGCTGCAATTTGAGCAGGGCCATGTTTATTATTGTCCATGAATGACTGCAGAACTTAACCCAAAACATTATGATGATAATGTTCAACAAATCAAAAGAGCGCATAAGGAGAACAGTTTATAGTTGTTTCACCTAGTCACCCATTATGGTTTACTTTTGAAAGATCAAATTTTAGCAAAATAGATTTTTCTTTTCCAGTTTCCTTTTTCTGTTTCAGGTTTATACGCCTCCCTCTATCATATAAACTCTAGTGCAAATATTTATTAAAGAAAAGTCTTGAAAATGGTGCGTATAGTATGAGGTAGGATCAGTGATGACTCAATATGCACTTTAACCAGAATATGAGAACAATAGTACTATGATAGCTAGAGCTGGCTAAATATTTTAATAAACAAATAAATTGAAATATCAGAGTCATTTCAATAAGTCAATAAATTAAAAGGAAAACTTAAGTTGGTACTTGAATATCTGGCCTTGCTTCTAAAATCTAAGCATGGTTAATAATGGGTTTCATACCATGCCAAGACTGGGAAAAGTGGCAGTTTCAAATCCAGTAAAACTCTTTGTCGTATGACATCAACAGTTTAAAGTCCTTTTAATTTAATGTAAGAAGGTCTTTAACTAATACATGCACACCTGGATTAATCTGTTCATCCAGTAGGAAAAGACAGGAAACAAAAGAGCTGCCTTAAGTTCAGGAAGTATTAAAGTTGTGCATAGAGGCCACTGGCTTCTCTTAATTGTCTTAGGTGTAAGTGTCTGCATGGTTGTATTTCCTTATGTGTCTATGTGCTGCCTTGCGACAAACTAGTGACCTGTCTAGGGTGTACCTCGCCTCTCGCTCATAGACTGCCAGAGATAGACTACGGCCCCACCGCAACCCTGGCAGAATTTGTTATTATTTTAGTGCTGTTTTTTTTAAAAAAGCAAATATTTATAAAGGATTTATGTAGGAGTTTTGTAAATCTGGCAAAATAAATGTCAAAGTTTGTACAGACAACTGTTGTGGCCATTCTTAGCAGTCTGTCTGGGGCTTTGAATTGTTCTATATTCATATTGAAAGTATATCATATTGACCAAAATTAATCACCCCATCCTAATACACAGTTTGGCCATACTGTCCAGCCCTATTCTATCTTTAGACCAAACAGAACAGTTAAACATTCAAGATAAGAAAGCTTTTCGCTGAACCTCACCAAATGCCAATTTCTCTTGTTTATGAAAAACTAAAATATAAATTTAAGTAATTAAAATGGATTTTGTACTAGTAGGTTTAATTGTAAAAGCTCAATGCAGATGTAGCATAAGAAACTCATAAAAAAGCATTTCCTGATGCCTTTTTACAAGATTAAAACGTCCTTTGTGGTCATTTTATTAAATATCAGTAGCTGCAGAGCCATAGTTGCTTTAAACAAGGTCTACTCTGTATGCATATTGTGTTTTTGATTTTAAATAAGGTGGTGTGACAGCTGCACACTGACAAACTGTCACATTCGCCGCGGTTAAACCTATCAAACCATAGCTCTGCACCTCACAGAGAAGTTTTCATTTCAGGGCTAACTAAGCTCACCTCTAGTTCCGGGTTGTTGGCCAATGAGAATGAGCCACAACAGAGGAATTTACCAACCGGCGAGCATCATTAGGAGACACATATATAATGACACGAAAAGTAGGATAATAACAGTGTTTAATAGAACAGCAAATGTGCTTAATCCCTTTAAACAGTAAGACAACCAAAAAGCTTCGAAAATCGTGCTAGCAGTTAGCATTCATTTATCAGTGCTCAATGCAGAAGAGTGGGTAGTACCTGCTGCTAACTATAAGTTAATAGTATAATTAATCAAATGTAAAATTATATAACTAAATTGCTCGATTTAGTAAATATACCACATATCTTAGCATATTTAAAGCTTGTAAAAGCAGGGCAGTATATCAGCGGGCAGACTTTAGCAGTTGACATTAGCTACATCTGTTAGTGACCGTAACCTCTCCCCTTTACAACTAAACTAAAAGGACCCTTACCAGCAGTATAACAGCGGCGAGACGGATATCCAAAGATGGAGATATTGCTAACAGTTTCATTGTATACTGTGGTTATAGAATGAGGTGGTGTTGTTCAGCCTTCCCGGTCAGTCTCGACACCGCTTTTCTCTGTAGCAGGAAACAAACGGCGAACAGATCTCACGGTGGCCACGGAAACCCGAGCCGGGCTTCCGGGTTGGCGCATGGGTTTGTGGGTAGTGTAGTTTTATTGACGTAGTTAAACAAGCGTCAGCTTCTACCTGAAAAACTCTAAAAATGGCGAGTGGATTTTGATGTAGGAGTGTAACGGGAGTTGTAGTGTTTACAGCCGAGATCCAACGGGACGCTTTGGAGGAAAACTTTTTGAAGAGTTTTCTCTGATCCTACAGGTAAAAAATGACTGCAAATATGTCAAATATAGTTTGGTACATTATCAGCTTTTCGAGTGGCTTTACCATTTGACTCGTTTCTGCAATGTTGCGACTACGAAAATGTATTTCTCGAATCACAGGAGAGTTGCATCATTGTAGTTAAGATGTTGTTATTCCTATATTGATGCGTTACACCACTTTCTCCATTGATACATCCTCGATAAAGGTTGATTTTGAGCTCTCTCGGGTTATCTTTTCTTGATGTTAACATTGAGTTGATGATCTAAAACCTTAAGAGTGACAAAAATAAATAAATAAATAAACTTTTAGGTAAATAGACTCTTTGGTGTAAAAAAAACGGTTCTTCCAAATCTTTCCATATATTATAGCATTTATAAGTAATTAAGTAATAACTATCTGTCCGTAAGCTTTAAAGCTTCAGTAAAAACATAAAATAAATTCCCTGCCTATTTATTAAAACATGTTATTATCAGATTTTTGTCAATATATATAAATGCTTTTTGTCTAATGTGGAAAACGAGCATAACTTCTTCTGCTACTGATATAATATACATGTTGATGCTCTGACTTTTATTACTGTTATCTGTTCTTATGGTAAAGGTTTATAGACATAAAAACACAGATCCATTAGATTAGATTGTAACTTTTAATCCCTTATATAAGAGATTATTATAGATTATTTTATTTTTTATGTTTATTTCTTAAGAGTGATGTAAGTATAGTAAGTTGACAATAGCATGTATTTGGGCGCTATCTGCTTGGACATTATTTAGATCCATGCTGATAATTAATAATTGAACTTTATTGACCTCACATTGGACTAGGTACCTCTTTAACCTATCCCCTTGGGCTGCCATCATAGCATGCCTGGGGAGCCAGAATGGCAGTCTGTGGGAGTGGGTTTCGAACTCAGAAGCTCAGCATACCCTGTCCCCTAACCACTAGGCCACCACTCCCACTTGCTTCGATGTAGTGTGGCGTACAGGTGACCAGCTTGTGGCTTTGCTGAGGTGTCATAGAAGCCCATGTTGCCGTAATAGTGGCCTTAAATTTGTCTGCATTGTTGAAACAGTTGTGTTTTATGTTCTTTTTGTTTGTTATAGTTTTGGGTTCACAATGACAGCTGCATTGACCAGGTACCTTGGTAAAGGTGATTTTTGATCTCACTGGGACCTACTAATTAAATAAAGGAAAAATGGTAAATAGCCTATACTGGCATAGTGCCTTTACAAGTCAGGGGACTCCAAATCACTTTAGATGACATTAATTCATTAATTTCTGTCATTTATTTAGTGGTGGCCTAGTGGTTAGGACATTACCTTGGGTTAAAGAGGTTCTTAGTTCAAGTCCCAGTCATTTCCACAGGCTGCCACTGCTCCCCGGGCACCACACAATGGCAGCCCACTGCTCTCCAAGGGGAGAGGATGGGTTAAAAGAGCGTGAATTTCCCCATTGTGGGACAATAAAAGGATTCACATTATATTACATTCACACATTGATTGTGGTAAGCTAAAGGTGCCCTGGGACACACTGACAGAAGTGTACACAGGTGCAACCAAGCCATCTGGTCACCACCCAAGTATGTAATGCTGGTGAAGTAATATATATATATATATATATATATATATATATATATATATAAACTAATAAATAATAATAAATTCTCCAAAAATATCATAACATATATACGGTAATGGTCATTAGATCATAATACTTCTTTCAGATCTCCTAGTCGTACTGGAAAATAAATCAGCATATGTTTGTCAATGGCAAAAAAGCACAACATATTCTAAAATTTCCAGATTCTGTCGCCCTTCCGGACTCTACAACCTGCAATTAGAAAATTGAAATTCAGTATTTAATACAGTTTAAACTTGTTCCTTCGAAATAGGTACCCACAATCATTTAAACCAGTGTAAAATGTTACCGATGTGTCTCCTGTGTACATCTTTTTCCCTTCACTCAACTTTCTATTATAATTGTTGGTTCACAACTCTGTGGTTACAGCCAGCTTCTACTTAAGCAACAGTATTATGAGGCGTGCCCTTCTCCAAGGGTTGCCGGTGACTGCCTGCAGGACAACTGTTCAATAAGCATTCTTTCCTAATATTATATAGGGCATAATATGACTTAGCAGTTTAGAATGTATTTTTCTGAAAAAACAGAAAAGACTAGTAAAACAAAGGAATAATAAAGCAAAGGGTTTTAGCAGTGACTTTTTAAAACCTCTACATGTAAGCAGTTGTAGCAAGGTGGAGCACGATTGATAGCATGAAGGATAAAAAGCAAACTGTCATTCCCATCCATGCTTTTTACTGGCAGTTATTTGTGTGGACAGGTGGGTGGGTCTCAGCGTGAGTGAGAAGCTTTCTCTGCTCTGCCAGGAGCCAGGATCAGGCCAGGTAGGGGACCTGGATGTGACTTCACACCCACTGAGGATGCTCTGAACTGGGAAGACTCTTCCAAGGTATCCCCTCTCAACAAAGATATGGTAAGAATCCAAACTCAGATAGCAGCTTCACACATCCAAATCCCAGAGGCTTTCCTCTGTGCTCATAGTTGGTATATCTGTTGGTCATTTTGGTGTCTTTGGTTTGTAATTATCCCATTAGGAGTTAAGACTGTAGAGACCCTTTGTGACAAAGCTAATTATGGGTGCTTCTGCATCTCTCTAATTGTTAAGGAGATTAGAGGGAAATGTTGAATTGAATCCTAGCATTAATATTTAATGTGCTAAAGCTGTCCATAGGGGGCGGTTCCCAGTGTGGAAGCTACTAACAGATGGAAAGAGGAAGATTCTGCTCCCTAAAAGAAAATCAACCACCTCAATTCCTTGATGAATTTTCCATTTTTGCATTAGAATAACATTTTAAATACATTTTTTGTAGAACAAATCCATCCACTCTAACAGGGTTTAAGCAGTGTTTTTACGCATATACAAGTTGAGACTGATATCTTGTTATCCATCCTACAGCACACAGATTGTGATATACACTGCAGTTCAGTTTTTGGCGACTATTCCTTGGTTTTACCTATTCCTCATTTTCCTACGTTCTACATTCTCCCCACACCAAATTCAATGACTTTTATATTGGATTTAGAGGTTAGAACAAAACCTATCCCAGTGCTGCACCAAACCTACCCCATATGAAAACACCGAGAGGGCAGCATCATACTCTGGGGATGTTTTTTCTCAGTAGGGAAATAAAAGTGGGTCAAAGTTGTTAGGAAGGCGATAGAACTAAATACAGAGCAATCCTGGAAGAACAGCTGTTGACTGGAGCGAAAGTTCACCTTCCGGAAAGACAATGCCTCTAAATATACAACCAATGCTACAGTCGAATGGTTTAAATCAAGGGTGCTAAAGCCCAGCCCTAAATAGCTACCATGCTGTTACTTTTAGATGCATCTCTTTTCTAACACACCTGAATCTAAAGGTTAAATCTTGTAGTATAGCTCAGCAAAGGCATGGTAATGAGCCACTCATTTGATTCAGGTGTGTTGAAAATGGGGCAAATCAAAAAGTTGAGGACTGGACTTGAGTTTAAAGCAAAGCAGAGTCATCTAACAGAGTGGACCAGTCAAAGTCCAGACCTAAATGTAATCCCTTTCAAGAGGCAAGATTCAAATTGACTTTTCATTGATGCTCAATTTGTATAAGTCTCTCCTATTTTTTCCCCCTAGAAGATAAACTGGAGCAATACTGATAAATGAATGCTGTTACTTCTGTTGCCTTTTTTTCTTTTCTTTTTAATGTATAACATGATGTACATTTCAAGCCATGCTTAGATTTTGGCTAACTGGACTGAAATGGTCAATCAAAACCAATAATCAGAAACAGACACTTCATCTGTTCCAAACTTTTACTGCTTATTTTGAAATGCTGGTTTCTACCTTTTAATTTAAATTGGAAAAATTATAATTTATTAAAAAGAATATTTGATACCTTTCTTTTTTACCATAAGCTTGTCAAACCCAAGCACTTTATTTATATAAATTTATATATATATTTTTTTTTATTATGTTTTGCTGTTATTTCTAAGTAACAGCTCCAACTTCTAAGCTATCATTTTCCTAAACCTTTTCCCCTCCCATTGATTTTTGTTTTGTTTGTTTTTCCATCTGATTACATCTCAGTCCTCTGATTCGCCACTGGGCAGATTCCTCACTGCATTTTAATTGGCCATTTAATTAGATCACACTTTTAGTCCAATTAGACCAGAGGTGTTTGGGAGGGAGGATGGGTATAGTGGATGGAGGAGGAAAGAGAGAAAAAGTCCTCAAGCTGATCTATCTGTCTCCCAAACCCCCAATTCATGTTCTCTCCACTTCTTTTTTATATTTCATTATTTTGTTACTCGCCTTGCTGTCCACCCCCTTCTCTTCTGCAGGCGTCTCATTAGTGATATAAGGCAATGACATTAAATGCACCGCCTCTCTTACTTTGAAAGTGTCTAGAGGAGTGCCTGAGATGCATAGACAATCTGAGAAGGACTCTATCGTTGATTTTGGTTAACATGTCTTTAGACAGTGGTCCTTCTCTTCCAGCAGATAACGCAGACATAAACACACTAAAAACCGTGAACTGGACTCAACCCTTCTGAGTCAGTGCAGTGTTCCAGTATAATATAATGTCTGATGAAGCTAAAAACATGCCGATCAAATGCAGGCCTGCCTGGAGGACAAAATAAACACTTTGTTGTTTATTCTATGTAGGTTAGACTCTATGCTCCACAACACTTTGCCCACTGTTTATCAGGAGGCGCAAATAGAAACCAACACATGCAGATGTATGCAAATACTCACACATAGACCTAGTTATTTGTGCAAACATAAAACAAAGTTAAACACGGCATCATCCCACTCCTACCCAAACGATGCAAAACCAACATCTATTACTAGAAATATGGACGACGAATCTAGTCCGAAGTTTACATCATTCATCATTGGAATGAATAAAGCGTAAAGATGCAGCTAATTGCTCACCGCTGTCCTTGTTTATCCTGATCCCACCTGTGATAAAAGTGTGTGTGCTTAAACGTCTTTGCTATTTTAAATCTGAGAAGTGGAGTGATCAAACATCCAACCAAACATTAAAGCCATATTATTGAGGTGCAAGATGCTAAGTGATATTCAAACTAATGCTCGTCGGGGTGTTTTTACAGCAAACATTAAAGTTATACAGCCTACCAACAGGGAAAAGCACTTTAGATGAATTGATAAAAGTCTTAACTTAAAAGCATATTCATGTTGATGAGTGTATGGAAACCTCTGACTGTTTCATGTGTGGAACAACAGGAAGCAGGCAAGCATGTTTTAGCCATAGGCATGGCACGCTGACCCCCGTGGCTGTGAGATTGACAGCTTTAGTCCCGCCTAATTGCATTACTCTCCCAGGTGATTGGCTCACGCCCCAGGGGCTCATTTGTCGGGATGCACTCTGGTAATGATGTAAATTAGCAGATCTATATGTCACTCAGCCCGCTTGCCTCCTGCTGATTGGCCCCGCTGTGCCCCCGGGGCTCGGCCCCCAACCAGTTGAGGGAGTCGGCTCATTGGTCTTTGGGGATCTGGGGAGTCCCCCAGAAATAGTGCTTTGCAGATTGGCCATCCCTCTGGACTGATATTATCCTTCCTCCTACCTCTTTACCTGTCAGTCAAAACCTGGGGTTGGTTTCCTGCAGCGTGTATCTTTTTATCTGAGACATACAGACCTGTTCTGAAACACACGCACAGAGGAACATGTAGGTGGCCTAGACAGCAGATATAATAACCCCACGTCGACTGAGAACTTAAACACACTCTGTCATGACTCATAAACTGTAAATCTGTGTGTCTTTTACTCGAGCAATTTATATATGGGTTTGTGTGGCCCCCAGGTTTACCCAGCATGTCAAGGCTCTCGTCTGTCAAAAGCAGACACCTTCACACTGATGGACAGCCAGAGGACCATTCAGAAAAAAAAAAAAAACACGCACTGCACAAATGCACTGGTTTCTTTACCTGCTTGTCTCAATGGCATCTATTGACATGCTGGTTAGGGTTTGAGTGCATGTGGAGGCTGCCCAGTGTGTTTGTGTGCTGCACACCTGTAGTGTCGCTGAAAGGTCTCAGGGAAGTGTCTGGATTCTTTGTTAAAGTCATAAAGTGGTTATATGAGCCGGAATATGAATAAAGACTAAATAATGTCAGCATCAGCATGAGTCGATACTCATACAGATGCACAATCACTTGGTCAGGACCTCAGCCGCTGATCGATGGTTTGCTCTGAGTTATTGTCTTCTTATTAACAAGCCGAGCGCTCCCCGAGGAACACGTATGAATAGCTAAATGAGACCACTCCAAACCTCTCAACGGGTACTTGTGTTGTTTTTACACCCTCCTTTGTTTGACTGCAGACACTGCATCTCAAAGAGCCTTTTTAGCCAAATTTGGTAGCACGGTGGGTGTTTCTAGAGCGCCGCGTTCCTTCTGAAACTCTAACTGGCTGCGTATGGCGGTTATGAATGTCCCACACACGGCTTCAGGTATTGACTTGTACTTCTCATGTCACTTTTTGGCCGAATGATCACTTTTTCCATTTTTTTTTTTGCTTTTAAGATTATTCATAATTGATTTGCTTTGTTCCTTCAGCAGCTGGAGCCTTTCAGGTAGACTTGACAAATGTAAAGAAGAGCCACTGTCTTGCAAAAGTGTTTAGACCTCTTGAACTTTTCTATTTTTGTCATGCTGTATAAAAAATAAAAATCTCTGGATCTTATCAGGATTTTATCTTATTGACCCACGCAAATAAAATAATGCATGTTTTGTTTTACTTCTTCTCAAATAATATCTTAACCTAAATGTTCGCTTGCATCGAGAGGGTTTTTCCATACCAGAACAGGTTCAAGTTTTTACAATATGCTGAATAATAAAAGCAAATATTTATTTTTATTGATTTATTTTTACCAACTGCATTAAATACTGACTGAACATCCAAAAAAAGTTTTTTTTTTTTCACACATTGTTTTAAATATAACAAAACAGAAACCTATAAGGTTACGGAAGAGAAAAAAACAGATGAACAGATATGCAACAGGATATGTCGCTCTTACAGACTGTTACACTTTACTGTCCTTTTTTTTTAAATTGAAGTTGAAGGTAGCTATGATATAGCTGTCTGTTTTCAAGACAGTAAAGCAATCAGAGGATGGATTAACACTTTGTGCTTTTAGTAATGCTTCTAAATGGAGGACTATTAAAACGGCTCCATGAAGTGAATCAACTTATATTAGCCCCTCAAAATGTATATAATGTATTTTTTTTATATTATGTTACAACTGTCTTATTTAATGCCTTCATCTTCCTAGCACATTGTGAATATTTGGTTGAGAAGTTGATGCTGGTTGATGTTGCATTTTGCAACCATATCTCCATTCAAAAGTGTAAAATAATCTCAGGTGGAATTCTGTTTGAATCATTTCTGATTTTGGTTTTGGCAAGCCTACAGCAAGATTATTTTTCTAAAACTACTACTATCATGGGTATAAGGAACTCTGGACTGCTGTGCTGAATTCGGTCAGCCTTGCGGACTCCATTATACGAAGGAAACACACATTTTTGATGTTTAGATTTTCCTTTGACGGTAAACATTATTACTTTAGTTCACAGGCAAAACTTTTAAATATCAATAATTTAGTTTCATTTTTTATATGTAATCCTATTATTTTAATGTGTCATTTTTGTTTTTCTTGACTTAATGTCACTGATGTACTTTTCTTTTTTTAATTTATAGCACTTTAAATCATCTTGCAACTAAAATGTGCTATGTAAATTAACACCTTGCCAATCAAATCAGGGTCATGACACAAAAACTACAAAAACCCACTTAAACAAATATAGCACATGACTGGAACCCCAAACACATGAAGTTGTGTAAATGTGCATGTGTCACACAAAGTACAGGAGAAGAAATAATGTATTTTTCACAATTCCATGAGGCAGGCTGTGCCATTATGTCATGCCTTGCAAAGCATTGTGGGAAACTGTATAGCTCCTTTGCCCCAGATTGGATTGTCAGGCGGCCTCTTGAAGCATCTTGCTTCTTCTTCCTACCTCCTTGCTTCCTACTTGAGACTTGATGTGGACATGGGCTTTTTAACTTGAAATAACTTGGAGTTGTTATTTGAGTCCAAATAATTTAAATAAGAACAGAGTATTAAAATATAATTCCCCTGCTATATATATGTTTCAGTGACTCCTGAGTCATTATAACTTGTTAATTACGTAGAATTTAAGCAACAGGTCTTGGACCAGACTTTGGATTTGTTAGTTTTGACATGATTTTATCAACTTAAGATTTATTTGAGATTTGATCACACAGTATTTATTCCAATGACTTGGTCCAACCTCTGGCATAGTTCTGGTTTGATCCAACCAGCACTACTGTATAGTGGAGTGGCTTTAATCAAAGCACATTCCTTTACTACAGTGACCAGGTTCCCCCTTAAGTCTAAACAGAGTCCAAATGTTCAGGATACATCCAGATTTTTATTTGTAAGAGTTTGAAAACTTGTTTGTCTAACATTTCAGTGAAATACAGTAATTAATGTCATTTAGGTAGAAAATGTGAGGTAGAGGAAAAGTTTTGCAGGACACTTAAAAGTTCGAATTGGGGTGATGAATACTGTTTAACTTCAAAAATAGTAATAAAACATTTGTTGTTTCTGCACATGTTTAATATTAGTAATAGAAGGCTCCATGCGTGTATGTGCGCATTTCTGACTGAGCAATCCTTGGTAATTAGAGATGTTTAGAGAGGCTTGTGGTTAATCTTGGTGAAGTGGCCGTAAAAACTCTCTGCCTCTCACGGAAGATCGCTTTCCATGACGCGGCACATGGGCCAAGTACTCACGCAGCGACATAATCACACACACACCTTTACAATGCGGCATCTTCCATTTCTTTTCTACCATCCTCTTTTTCACACACAAGGATGTTCTTTGCATCAGGTCCCCACCACCGCTTGGCAGAGCGTGAGAAAACAACAAGCATGACAAGTAATTGCCGTGCTGCACGCAGTGTCTACATTAGCGCTGTTTATGAGGGGGACCAAAGGGAGAAAGAGAGGAAAATAAAGCACCAACCTGGAGTACTTTCATTCATTTAATTGATCAGTTTTTTAAGAATTTAGTTATCAAAAAAACTTTAGTAGTTTAGATAAGGTTGGGGAAAAAATTGTATTTCAAGACTTTTTCTAGTTTAATAATAAACATCTGCAGCCACTTTGTTATAATGCTGCCAATAAAATAAAAGGATTGCATCCATCCATTCCCGTTTAATTCAATTCAGTTTGATTTATTCATATGATGCAATTTAATAATTCAAGTTCATTCTGTTCACTTTATTTATATAGTGCCTATTCAAAACACATGTCATCCTAAGGTCCTTCACAGAGACAATTTAAACATATCATGCAGTCAGATTGGTTCTAAGTTTTCTAAGAAAAACCAGACATTGTATTGAGTCAAAGACTTGCAGGATTCTTTCCTCCTGGATGAGGATGTGGAAACAGTAGACGTTCACTTGCATCATGTCATTGACTCTACAGCAATCCTTCACACTGAGCATACATGTAGTGAGGAGAAAAAAATCCCATTTTACAGGAAAAAAAAAAAAACTTCAGTAGAACCAGGCTGTTTTAATCATCAAACTTTTATCTGATTTTTTTTTTTTTTTTTGGCATCAAACAAGTTTTTGATGATTTTATTTCATAAGAATGTAAGGATATTTTTCATGCATTTAATAAATCTAGATTTTATTTTATTTTTTATGACTCCAGATTTTCACTAATTGGAGCCCTGAAATGGAAAAATTAATCAGATTCCTCTTTCTGGGTAATTGATTGTTGCATCTTTAGTGTTAAATCAGTTCTCTTTTCAGGCCTAGTGATGAAATGGTTTTGGGGGGAAAAAAACAACATCTTATTGTAAGGAAGAGTTTGTGCCTCGAGCGTTTATGTGTTTAGGGGCAATAATTGATTTCTATGTTTTGCCCCACAGGGCTCATCCCACATCTCCCAACCCCAACACACACATACACTAACACAGCCAGGCCTGCTGCAGTATTAATGAGACATGAATAAGACATGAAGAGAGACCCCCCTCCTACATGCTCACACAGGGTCCCCCCCCCTCCCCAGATGCTTCCTGTCTGCAGATTACCCAGCTTTCACTGGGTTCTGGTTAAGTGGGGCCAGGAAGAGATTTAACCCCCTCAGCAGGAGGAGACACCCAGCATACATGTATCAGTGTGCACACACACACACCTTATGCTGTCAGTCCACATCACTTCTTTTATGAAGTTATTGGAAAATGCGTTTTATTGTGCTTGAGGTGTGAATGAATAACTCCAGATGGTAACCGAAGTCATCTAACAGCTTTAAAATGTAGAAATAAATTAAATAGAAACATTTTAATGTAAAAAAAATGCTTTCAATATTCAAATAATTCTATACATTTAAGCCTGAAAAATGTGCTTGAGGCAATAATATTAAAACAAATGAAAAGGAATGCGAGCGGCATGACTCTTTAAATAAAACGTCGTTGAAGGACCTTTACATTTCATTTCAGCATTCAATTTTCTTTAGTTGGAGTCTCTCAGCTTTGCCTATTCCAATTCTAGTTGACTTTTTTTTTTTTATTAATGCAAGAACACACAATGACAATGGAAATATTCAATATTCAGTCCAACTCTTGTTTTTTAAGGAAAAATAGCCTTATACCATGATACGACCACCCCTGTGTAAAACTTCAGGCCAATGTCTTTTCTGAAGAACTGCTCTTTTAAATCAGATATAAGGAGAATATAGAAGATTGATATTTTATGTATATACCTTTGGTGCTGCTTTCTATCCTTCTGCAGAGTCTGTTACCTGTTTCTTTGCCTTTTTTGGTTGATATATTGTTTTGATCTTTTTAAACCTCTCTGTGAATTAAAGCTGTAGCTAAAGTGTCAGGAAACGACCAACCAGGACACCTGAACTTTGTTTCAAATTGACTAGATTAGCTAGAATTAGTGGTAAATGTGAACCCAGGAAGACCAAACACTAAAGATATGATCAACATCGCTCTAACCATGTAGAAGTATTAGTGCAGCATATTAATATTAGTTTGATTAAATTGTTTTGTCACTTAAACCTAGGCTTGATAGAGTTGTAATGCTTTTTAGATCTACTGTAGATTACTCTATTTGTTCAGACTAAAGAGGAAATGCTAATTAAAACCCACTTCCACTCCAGATGAGCTAAAAAGATGTATTTATCTGTTCTCCAAAGTTTGTCTTATTTGATTCAGGCCATCTTTATAAAGAGCTGGTGATGTTGCTCAGAGCGAGGTGGACGGACATAAAGCTGTATAGGCTCATTATATTCCCCATTTAATAAGTGAGCCTGTGTTGCTTTAGGTTGAGTTGTAACCTTCGGCGTGTTTTTGTTGCAGGCTTCAGCGGTGTCCAGCTCAGGATCAGCTTCCCCCGGCTCGCAGGTTCACGCGGCAGCTGTCAATGGGGATAGGAGCGCCCTCGTCAAACTGATCACAGGTCAGAGACGGCTGGCTGGCATTCATCTTGAATCTTCAGTTGCTCCCTCTCCTTATCGCTGCACCCTTTCAGTACATCTACTGGATTTGAGTAAAAAGACTTAAATGTGTTCTCAGTTGCTGCAGCTTCATGCAACTGAGAAATATATAACAGCCCAACATTTAATTACATAATCTGTCTCAATCTGCGATGAACAATATTCCAGAGAATCACAAATATCAGCTGGAATTTTTCTTTTAGTGTGAACATTTGATACCTCGTTGATTCATCTGATTTGAGTTTTTATGTTAAAGAACAAACATACGCCCTGTTTAACGAGAGAATAAATAAACTTTGTGGATGACATTAAGGTCATTTGAAAACATTTTCCAATTTGAAGAACTAAAGCACATAGACTGCAGTCTAGTGATTCAAAATAAATGACAGTGGTTTGCTCAGACTGAACCCAAAACAAGATACTTTCAGTTGAAATCTCAATTGAATTTGGCAGAATGCACAGTTTTAAATTTGATTTTGTAGAAGAAAAAAAAGGCTAATTCCTGGTATGCCTTTAAAGAAACTAACTACCCTTTCTCTTTATCCTCCTCCAGCTTTGTGAAGCTTTGAATTATTACTTAGTCTGTGTATATAGGAAGGTTTAAATGAGAAGCGGTCTCTCCTATTGCATTTCCTGATTAAAAACGATCAGCACAAACTACCTAACTTAAATGGCTCGTCTTGTCTTTTCTATTTTTAGTAGAAAAGATAAGCTCCTGTTTTATATCATACGCCAAGGAATTGGAAAATCATGGATAAATCATTAAAAGCTTTAAGATTAACGTAAAATGCAAAGTATAAAGAAATAAAAAACTCTGAATAGTAATAGAATTATTATATAAATTCCTTTAGATGGCCAAAGAAAGCTGTAATAGTCAGAGCAGAGTTTTTTTGTGGATTCAAAATGTACTTTTTTGGAACTAGTAGCCTTTATTTGTATTAGGCAGGGATGAAATGAGCAGAGAGGAAAGGGGAGGACATGCATTAAAGATTCTCAGGGTTAGGAGTTAGCCTCTGCTTATGTCTGGATGCTCTATCTCTAAAACAAACTCTGCATCCCATCTTAACATATCCTCCCAAATCTGTGTGCAGCCGAGCCACATTTGAGGGACCATGAGGACCAGTTTGGGCGCACCCCTCTGATGTACTGTGTGCTGGCCGACCGACTGGACTGTGCTGAGGTTCTGCTGAAGGCCGGATCCTCGGTCAACAAAACGGACCACAGCCAGAGGAGCGCTCTGCACCTTGCAGCGCAGAAGGTACAGACACACCCTCAAACATTCACCTTTTCACGTCTAAAATGTTTGTTGTAAATTTGGTAAACCATATGGAATAATAAAAAAAAACATGTCAGTCAAGATGAAAGTGGTGTTAAATCAGCTCTAGTAGGGAACTAGTGCCCCCTAGTGGCTGCAACAATAACCTGAGGGTTTATTGAGTGACATGTATTGATTGAACACAAACACTGCAGCTGTGAGTTTTTAAATCATGCTATCATACTCCCACATGTTAAAATGGACAAGTGGGAGCATCCTTTTTGGGAAGTGATGTGGCAAAAATGTTCACCACCTCTTTTATCACCAAGTAGGGTCTACTTTTAACGCTGGATCATCATATCGTTAGGACGAGAAGAAGACGGGATGGAAGGTAATAGGTTATTGGTTAGGGTCTCAGCGATTTCAAGTGTGTAGGGGTGTGTGTGTGTATGAGAGTTGGGGGGGGGGGAGGTACAAGTGATTGGAAGCCCTGTCTCTTTGACATCTGATCAATAAGCGGCTGAGACAGCAAGAGAGACCAGGGATTACTGATCTAATTGGACTGAGAATGGAGAGGACAGGATTACACACACACACACCGATCCACCCATACAAACACGCGTGCTCTCTTTCACAGTCCAGATGCATGCTCACACACAAGATAGATCTGTCAGACTGTGGCTTTTGCGATCTCAGAAAGGCAAATATACAAAAAGCGCCCGCATGTGTGCACGGCCTGAGCTCTTCGCTGCGATGCATCACCCAGGGGGCCTGGTAGTTAAAGAGGCCAGGAGTGAGGGTGATAATGATGTGGAGGGGGGGTGACAGGCAGAGACGTGGCCGCTGTTTACTGTTTAACAGCTCATCACAAGCGCTGAGGAGCGAGGCAGGGGGACGGGAACGAAGATGGATGACCTGCGGATTGAAGCAGACGCGGCTGAAAAAAAAACAGGGTGCATGGGGCCCCCGGGGTTGGGGGGAGTATGGGTGACACTGCTACTGGTTTATAATATTGAGAAGAATGGCTGATTTCTGAGATTTCCCATCAGCATGGTGTGTTTTGGTGGTGTGTTTGCAGGGAAACATGCGTTTCCTGAAGTTACTCCTGTCCAGACGGGCCAACTGTCTGCAGAAGGATTTGGAGGGAATGACCCCTCTCCACCTGGCCACCCGACACCCATCTCCTAAAGCCCTCGCACTGCTGCTGAAACACATCGGGCCTGGAGAGGTGGACATCCAGGATAAGAATAAGGTTCTAGAAAACACACACAGATATAATAGAAGCTTTTTATAAAGACTATTTCAATTGAATTTTCTGAATAGAATGACATTTTAATAACCAGAAATATTTTTTTAGAGCTATTTTCCTTTTATTAGCTTGGATATTATGTTTTATTATAAAAAAAATTGTATACACCTTAAAGAAGTCAATCCATGCTACATCTTTATGCATTGTTTTATGTTTTTCCTTGATAAAATAAATAAATAAACTGTTGGCTGTTTAAGATGGCGACAAAAATAATAATAAATGTTTTATTAAAAAGTTATAGAACAGGTTTCAGAACCCTGGCATATGGTGCATGGTTTTTGTGCCATAGACCATAACAAAGTAGTCCATAGTTTTAAAGTGTAAAGAAAATAACGAATTTACAATCAAAACTCTGAAAATGTTTTATTTCATTTGTATTCGGCTCCCCTTACTCTGACACCTCTGGATAAAATTCAGTGCAAGCATCCACTTTCCAGAGTAATCATAAATGGGGTCCTCATTTAACCCCATTTTACAGCCAGCTGCTCTGTCAAAGCTTCAGCGGTTGTGGAGAGGTTTATAGCTAGATTAGGTTATAAGATTATATTAGCAACACTGCAAAAACCTTTTGGAAAATTTGTCAGAAATTTCTTATTTTAAATGTAAATTGTCTTATTCCATTGGCAGTGTCTCATTTACCTGCTCAAGTCAAGGAACAAGGCAAGGCACATTTATTTGTATAGCACAATTCAGTACAAAGACAAATGCAAAGTGCTTTACATGATTAAAATAAGGTAAGTAAAACACAATCAGAGCAAGAAGAAGAAATAAAATGCACTTATTTGAAGAAAAATGACTGATTTACATTTTTTTGCTATGAAGTCCTGAACATCTCAAAAAGCACTGATGGAACATTTCTGCCAGAACTCTAAACCTACCAGAACAGAGCAGAAGATGCTTGGACCGACTTGCACCAACCTTTATCCATCACATGAACTCCAAAAAAAAAAAAAAAAAAAGCATTGAAAAGTTTAGCTGTAATACACTAAAATGTAAAAATCATAACGGTATGAAATACTTTTTCCGCTGTAGTGTCTCAGTTAGAAAACATCCAGTCTAGGCGTCTACCCAATGACCTGAAGAGAGATAACTGACCGGCTCAAGACGGTTTCCTCAAATCGTTGCACACAACAGCAAGCGCTCCAACAATCTGCGGCTTTGTTCTGTATTCTCCTGATAAGACCACAAACACACTGTCTCCTCTGTCTGCAGGAGCTGATGGGTATCTGACATCAGTATTTAGTTTTGTAATAATCCAATATGCATCATCGCGTCAGATGATGGTGGTTTCAGCCCATCTCAAAATAGCCGAGCAGCCGTCATGGAGTTTGTATCTTGGTTAGAATCTCCGCCTCGGCCCTTCAGTGTGAGCTTTGTGTTGTACGTTCCTTTATTTTCCCTGACCGTGTCATAGTGGAGTCATTTTTCTGAACATAAGTGGAAGCTCTCTGTCTCCTAAGACTTCATTCATCCATTCATTCATTCATCTATATATTTTTTATTTCCTTTTACAGCAAACTGCTCTTCACTGGTCAGCGTTTTATAACCGACCAGAGCACGTCCGCCTTCTCATCAAGCATGATTCCAACATTGGCATCCCGGACAGTGAGGGGAAGATTCCTCTGCACTGGGCTGCTCATAGTCAGGAGGCCAGCGCCACACAAACTGTCCGCTGCATACTGGTAAATGCTAAAGGCCACTTATATTCAGAAATTAACTCGATCTGCACACCGTCTCCCATCAGACTGCATATATTTTTCCTCTTCTTTTTTTTTTTTTGTATTGTTGTGTGTAAAGGAAGCAGCACCCACAGAGTCCCTGCTGAACTGGCAGGACTATGAGGGCCGGACACCTTTGCACTTTGCTGTTGCCGACGGTAACAAGGCAGTGGTTGAGGTATTAACGTCCTATGAGGGTTGCAATGTCACAGCGTATGATAACCTCTTCAGGACACCACTGCACTGGGCAGCACTGCTTGGTGAGTAAAAACACAGCCCTATAGGTTCTCTGTTACTTTGGTTTGGACTGACTTATCCAAACAGCTGTCAGATAAGTGACAATGACAATTTGTGTGGACACTTATGATGCAGTACTTTCAGAGGAAAATGAGAAAGTAGATTTTAGTGTTCTTGTTTATTGTGAGATTATGGAGAAACCTCTATATTCCTGGCTTGAATCCCAATCAGATCCTTTAAAATGTTACCCTTCTCTCTTTCCTTTCTTCTCTCTTAACTTTTTTCATCCTTGTGCCCTTCCTGTGGTTCTGCATCCCTTCCTTCCTTCTATCATTCCATCCTTTTTCCTTCCTTCTGTCCTTCGTTCATAATTTAAATCCTACCTCCCTTCCTTCTCTTTCCTTCCTCCTTTTACGCTGATCCTTGAATGTCTCCTTTCTTGCTCTGTATCTTTACTTCCTCACACATGCCCTGCTACATTCCTTCTGTTCTTCCTTACTTGGCTAGTTTCTTTCTTTCTTCCTCATGAAGTTCCTTCTTCCCTTCCTTACCTGTGTCCTTTTTCCTTCCCGTCTCCTTCATTTATTTTTTTCTATTATTTCCTCTCTGTTCTACTTCCTCTCTTCTTTAATTATTTTCTTGCTTGTATACATGTTTTTGTGTGTTCTAACTACTTTCTACCTTAGAAACACAAGCCAAAAAGCCATGGTGAACCTTATTATTCTACGTTTTAAACTAAACTTAAAGGCCTGAGCTCTCTGAAAATCCAGCTCAATTCAATTAAAAAATAATTGATAAATTCTGAATGAAAAATGGAATAGATTAACATCTCTTATTAGATGTAATGGTGTCTGGAAAAGTCACACTTTTAACATGTCATATTTAAGTAGGCTCTCTGAGAATGTTAGTATAAGCTGCTGCTGTTTTTATGTTTCATGGTAATGCAAGGAATTTAAATGTACAAGATTTATGATCACTAAAAGTATATAGTATATGTAAAGTATATATATAGGATTATTGCACAGGTTATTGCACTGAGATATTGCACAGGGTATTAAATAGTGATTGCACATTAGTTTTTGCAGAAGTTATTGCAGTTATAGTACCACATTGTAAAGTCTGATGGGAGCAGGGATGAATGACTTGCGGTAGCGAGAACGCGCAAACTTTTTGAATCCCCTCCTGATAGATTTTATTGGATATTTTTGACAGTGTGGTTCATGTCTCTACCCCTCTAACATCATATCCTCCCAATATTAATAAACACAGGACATGCAAAAATTGTCCATCTGCTGTTGGAGAGAAACACATCGGGGACAATTCCTTCAGACAGCCAAGGAGCGACGCCACTGCATTATGGGGCTCAGAGCAACAATGCTGTGAGTTTAACACGGTTTCCTCTAACCTTCTCTAGCTGTAGGGAAGAAAAAGCCTGTGGTATTAAAAACCTGCTGGTGATTTGGGTGCATCTTTATGCTCAAGCTCAGCAAAGAAAAAAACAGGTTTATGTCAGTGAGTCCAGTAAAGACCATCAATAAATTGCTGCTGTCTTTCTATGCGCTTGCAGGAGACTGTTGGTGTATTTCTGTCTCACCCATCTGTGAAAGATGAACCTGACCTGGAGGGACGGACAGCCTTCATGTGGGCCGCCGGGAAGGGCAGTGATGACGTCATCCGCACAATGCTTGCCCTTGCCACCCGGATCGACATCAATATGGCTGACAAATACGGCGGCACCGGTGAGAAACGCTGGACCGCTTCAAACCAAGCCTTGCATAAGGCCAGCATAGCGCTCAAATCCATTCCATACTGTGTTTATATGATCAAAATGGCTGTATCCCATTGAACAGCAGCCAGGCAGGCAATGTTCATATATATAAACATCTTCTTCAGTCATAGTTATAAGCTGGATTGTACAGTGGTAGAAATGACCGGATCCCAAATCAGTTTTCACTCACATGACTGGATGCACATTAGATGCCCTCTGTTTAGCTCCAGCCAATGGGAGAGCTGATTTTAAGTCGATAAGTGAAGAAAGAGGGAGAAGAGGAAGGCGTTTAGTATCGATTGCTGGATCTTTAAAGGTGATTTTTGTCTGTTTGTGTTTAATCAGCGCTTCATGCAGCCTCCCTGTCCGGCCATGTGAGCACAGTGAAGCTGCTGCTGGAGAAGGGAGCCACAGTCGACTCACTGGATGTCATGAAGCACACGCCACTCTTTCGTGCCTGTGAGATGGGATACAAAGATGTTATCCTTACTCTCATCAAAGGTGACGCCATAGTTCTCCAAAGTCTTTCACTTTTTGATACTTTTTTTATTTTATATGATAGACCTACACTAAGTAGTATGTAATGTATAGTTTTGGATAAACACATGTGCATTTAGCTCTCTCCCCCATAAGCATGCTCTATAACGACATTTGCAGGTCTTTTTGGGGTTTGTCTCCACTAACAACTCGAAACAGATGTTGTTTTACAAATTTAAGCTTTAGGTCAGTCATCGGATAAAGAATGTCTGCTAATATTGGTTTAGCCTCAACACATGTATATTTGCTGATCTAAACCCTTCTAGCTCTGTCTGTATGTTCAAGGTTGTCATCCTGCTGGAAGGGGAACCTCTGGCTCAATCTCAAGTCTGTTCATCTTTCCATCTAAGGCTACGTTCACACTGCAGCCTGAAGTGACCCAAATCCGATTTTTTTGCCAATATGCGACCTGTATCTGATCTTTTAATGAATAGTCTGAACAAGACAGATCCGATTTTTTCCAATACGACCCAGGCCACTTGGCTATGTGGTCCTGAATCCGATACGAATCTGATCTTTTCAAATGCGTCGTGTGTGAACGGCCAGATCGGATTCATCCGACCTGATCGTCATTAATACCCGACAAAGGTCACTATTCTGCGTCTTGCTACGCAGAAGTGGGAAGAAAACCAAACACCATGGCAGATGATGATGCGGAGAGCAGTATTTATGTTTAACCATATTGAAAAAATTGTGTTTTTATGGTTGGAAAAGACCGCTAGATGCGCGCCGGCACTACCATCCATGTATACTTCCAGAAAAAAAAGAGCATGCTGGCCTTTCACGTCATTGCGTCCTCTTCTGCGCATGCGGGACACTTGCATTGTATAACTGCAGTTCACACAGGAGATCACATACAAGTCACATATAGTTGGAAAGATGAACGGCAACAAAAAAAAATCGGATTTCGAAAAAAAATCGGAATTGAGCATCAAGGCCTGCAGTGTGAACGTAGCCTAAGTAGCTTCCTCATTCCAGCTGATCCCCACAGCATCATGCTGCATCACTTTTTTTATTGTATAGGAGGGACGATGTTGTTAGTGTGATGTCCAATCCTAAAAAGCATTGGTTTCATCTGAGCAGAGGAAATTCTTCCATCTTTGCTTGTTTCCCATACATGGCTTTTCTAGTAATATTTTTTTTTTTTAACAGACCTCTTATTTCTTTACAGAATTACTTTATTTCCTCTTTTATTTTTTTTCTATTCATACTGATATTAAGCCACACAGTGGGGGATTAATTTGCTTATCAGACAGCCTCTATTTAGAGATATTAGAGTCACGGGGGCTGAATACATATGCATGAACATGTTTGAGTCATTGTGATAAATCCTTTTAAAAACCATGCATCTTTTTTCCACCTTTGTGTTAATCACATCTGTCAGTGTTAAAATCGGTTCATTCAGATATTTTTTTCAATGAACCATTTTGTTCAATGTATTTCCCTAACACACGGAATGCAGGTTCTGCTTGTGTTGACCTGGTCGATGTGGACGGTCATACTGCTCTCCACTGGGCAGCTCTGGGGGGGAACGCTGAGGTCTGCCAGATACTGATGGAGAACGGGATCAGTCCCAACGTACAGGTACAGGTCTAAATATTTCGCCAATTTCAAAAGCTTAAAGTACTTTAGAGTTTTGTTGTCACTTTTTTAGTGCACAGCAAGAATTGATTGTATATAAATGGATAATTTCATGAAGGACCGGAGGGTGGTGCATTTGTTGCTACTTTTGACGTGAAAGGGTTTGCACCTTCATTTCATGCATGCATAGGTGAAATTGCTGGAGACCGACAGCAAACATCCCCCGTAATCTTGCATAAAAGGAAATTAAGATACAGTTTACAGGTGGAATTCAAAGTATAATAAATCAGTTAATCTACCTTTATTTTCCCCTTTCTTCTATCTGGGACTGTGTTTAAATTGTAAATGACAAATGTAAAAGAAAGACCGCTTCAGTATGGGGTATCTGTCTTCATTTGAAACTGATTTATTATGATGAGTTATTTGAATGATTCAGTTTATCATTTATAGTACAGCACATTTCAGAGTAATCATATCTACTATTTTCTGTTAAACTGCATGATTTTTTTTCTTTGTTTGTTTTTTTGACTGTCTGTTTGAAACGTAATGCCTATAAATCTGTTTAACATTACCTGTAGACACCAACTATTCATTCTTGGGCCTCAGAGGCTTTATTAAAGCCTGAATTATTCAAAAATTGCACAATAAAACCTTTTCCTTGAGTTCCTAGTTTTAAAAGGCAGCTACCGTCCACAACAAAATCTTCAAGATAGCATAAACTATTGTTGATTAAGTCCACATTAAAATCAGCATTATTTCTTATCAACTTAATTGTGTTTCTTTCAAAGTTTTAGAATCTGAGTAAAACCACGGTAGAGGTTTAATTTGGAGGCTGTTGGCCTCTTTGTAAAGGATTTAAAACTGTAAAACTTTGGACTCCAAAGTGTACAATCTATCTTTCTAACTCATGATTCTCCTGCTTTTCTCTGACTTTGCTTTTTGTTTCCTGTGACTCCCTTCTCTCTGTCTCGGAAGTCATGAGTTATTTGTGTGTGAAAAGTCTGCAGCTCATTTATTCTGAATGGGGAAATGTGCATGCTGCCAGGCTGCAAAAATTCAAAGATCGGCAACCAAGCAGCGGCAAACTAGTTAAAGAAGAACCTTTTCTGTGATTAGATTAGGTTCTATAGAGCCACTTCATCTTAACCGTGAGCTGAAACAATACCGCTCTACCTCACATCACCACTCACTGATCAGTGAAGGTAGGTGTGTTTTATACCAGGCAGGAACAGCTTGGTCACAGTAGATGCTTCCTGAGGGGGTGGCTAATAACTGTCCTCCATAAAACAGCAATTATCTGGTGAAAACTTGTTTTTACTTAGATAGGGAGGAGTCTGCCGTTCAGAAAGCAACATTTATGAGGATTACTCAGAAATGCATAAATTCAGATGCTTTGGGTATGATTTAATGATGGAAAGGTATATTTAAGCGTAAAAACATTTGTATTCCATGATATGTGGCCCTTTGAACTAACCTTCCATTTGTTCAATTTGGTTTCAGGATCACGCAGGACGTACTCCGCTGCAGTGTGCCGCATATGGTGGTTACATCACATGCATGGCTGTTCTCATGGAGAACAACGCCGACCCAAATATTCAGGACAAGGAGGTGAAGATTCGCTTGTATATATGTCCTTCAGTCACACTTGTGTCTGAGTCGGGGTCTAAAAGAGGTCAAATAATGTGAGCCTTGTTTGTTCTGTATGGGAGGACAGGGGCGGACTGCGCTCCACTGGTCTTGTAACAACGGGTATCTGGATGCTGTGAAACTGCTCCTGGGCTACAATGCCTTTCCAAACCAAATGGAGCACACCGAGGAGAGGTGAGGAGGCAGGCAAGGGGTGAAGGCAGGGGAGGTAAGGAGGCTAGGGAGGGAGTTCTATAACTCTGTTTGCTTTGTGCAGATATACCCCTCTTGACTACGCTTTACTGGGGGGGCACAGTGAGGTCACCCAGTTTATGCTGGAGCACGGCGCTCTGTCTATAGCCGCCATCCAGGACATCGCCGCTGCGACCATCCAGGCCGTCTACAAGGGCTACACCGTCCGTAAGGCCTTCAGGGAGAGAAAGCAGCTCCTAATGCGGCACGAGCAACTGCGCAAAGATGCAGCCAAGTGAGAACAAAGCACACAGAGACACACGCACCTGAGATGTTTGATGATGAGGTGTCTTGGGGGGGGGGGGGTCTTTCAACCTATTTGTCCTTTATTATAGTTTTACTCTTCTTTGTCTGTCCCTGTCATCCATCTCTCTGTCATCTGTAAACACATGCATCTTCCCACTGTCTCTGGCCTGCAGTTTGCTCCTTGCCTGTTATTTGCTCATCCGTTTCTCCTTTGTTCTAACTGATAGATTTTGTTTCAAACAGGGGGATTAAAAATGACATTTATTAATACTTGCTAAGCCAGAAAATATTACAGAATAAGTGAAAATTTTTGTTTTATTTTTTTGTAGTGTAAGAAAATACTGGAAGGAGAGGTGAGCACAAGAGTGAAGCAGGGTTAGCTTATTGTTTGAAGCTCTGGATGGAGTTTGATTAAACAAAGGGTTACTGTTAGCATTGCTAAATGTTAAAACTCTCTCTCTAGGTTCATCTGCGGTGGAATCTATGTGGTACGAATTATTCCGTTTTGTTTTGTTTTTTTCTGTAGAAAGAGAGAAGAGGAGCAGCGAAGGAGAGGAGCAGCGCAGCAATCTCAGGACAAACCAAGGGGTTCAATTCAACGAGCAAAGCAGGCGGAGCTCTTAATGAACATCGTGGAAAATCCAAGCATGAATGATTCCTCTGTGGATTCAAAGAAACAGAGAAAAATCAAAGAGGGGAGACATAAAGGTGCAAACACTTTCAATTGTTTTATTAACAGTGTTGGGCTGTTCTGTAACCTCTTTCTCATCAACATCATCATCTTTATTTGTAGAGAGATTTAAAACAGCTACAGCTTAAAACAAAGTGCTTAGCACAGCTAAAATAATAAAACACAATAAAATAATAAAATACAGCATAAAAATATGAAATAAGGCATTCATTTTTTAAGCTAAATACACAACATCACAACATCTAAGTCCTGCCAGTGTTAAAAGCCAGTTAATAAAAGAAAGTCTTTAGCCTTGTTATAAAATTCCTCAGGTAAGGAGCCTCCGTAAGGTCCAGCTGGAGGCTATTCCATAAACGAGGAGCAGCGAAAGAGTTTCTCTTTAAAGTAGCTCAGTTGTTCTTACCATACGCTGAATTTGTCTGTTACACAAAATATGTGAAAGTAAAGAATCAATGCTGTTTGTGCATTTTACTTTTGGTCTCTGGAAGGCAGGGCAGCAGCGATTAGAGAAAAGCAGACACCTAGTGGAGAAAACACTAACATAGCCCATTCATCATAACTGGCTTAAGATAAAAATGAGGTTAGTTTCAGTTGACGAACCTTAGAAAGGAAAAAAACAAGTGTTTTAAATGTATACTTAAAATAACAGAAATATTACGGGTATTGAGAAACAATCTTTAATTCTGCAAATCAAAAATTCAGATATTTCTTTGTAGCGGCTCTTCATAAACTGCCTAAATGTTTATATATTATTGCATATAGCCTTTAGGTTACCAGGTAAAATATATTTAAGATTAAGAACATATGTGCCCTCTGCCAGTGCATTTAAGGAGCCGGTTAATGAGTTTATTGCCTATTAAGGGATTTTGGGTTGTTTTTGGTAGGTTGGGGGGGTTAGCAGTAAGTAGTCTAAGCAGGAACCTTCAGGTACTATTTATGGACTTATACAGTCCTTCATATCTACATCACCAAACATATCTTGATGAGATTTACATTAGTCCAAAGTATGTGTTTGAGAGGAAGAAAAAAAAGCAGCATTTGCCAGAAATTAAACAAACAAGCAGGTTTTCCCAGTCTGCTCCTGGTTACCGGCTGAGTTAAGAAATTTCAGCCAGCAGCTGTGTGCTTGTTCTTTTTTTCACAGTGGTCAGGTACACCCGTGCTCCTGGCTTCCATAAACCTGCATTTGGGTTATTTGTGTTTTTTTGAGTGTTGAAAATTTTATTTTTGTTTAATTTTTTTTTTCTTTGTACAACAAGCTTCAGTAATAACATTTTTAGGAATTTTCATTTTAAAAATGAACAAAAACATCTCATTTAATATAAATTCACTACTTTTTGGTGTCAGAGTTACTTTTTGATTCAAGTAACTAGTGAAGTAACTATTTACTTTTTCAGATAACTGGCACAAATAAAGAAAACTGATTTATTCCTTTGATTGGAATTATATGGTTGACTTTTAACTCTGCCTTACAGCCAAGAGGAGCACGTTTCCCAGTAGAAGCACTGCAGCTGAACGACCTGAAGCTTCAGAAGCTGTGAGCAGTAGTTCCCTACAGAGCATCAATGCTGAGCCTGAAGTTCAGCAGCACACCAGGCTGAAGAAACTTCTCTCTCCTGCCGCCTCCAAAGAGCCCCCCAATCTAACACCCACACCTTCCAAAGCTCCCAAAGCCAGGGAGCGGACTCACTCAGTCGCCTCCGCTGCTTCCTCAGACCAAACCCAGGTGAGCTCTGGAGATGTTAGAAGGAAGGACAATGTGCACTCTTCCCCCAACAAGCACAAGAACCACAAGGAGGCGACCTCAGAGGTCGCTTTCGGAGGCCGAACTCCATCACTAAGGAGCAGCTCATCTTCACATCCCAAAAGACCACGGAGAAAAACGCAGCCTGGTGTCACACAAGCTGGATTAGTGGGGAAGCGTGAGAAGGAGCACCTGAGGAGGAATGAGGCTGCCCGTATCATTCAGCAAGCGTGGCAGAGGTGAGTCGCTGTTCATACATGGACCGGAGCTCTTTAAATTCAATGTGTTCAACTGTGGGATACTGGAGGTTTCATGTGGTGCCCTCATGTGTCTTCTTCCTCTTGTAATAACCCCCCCACCCCCGAAACTAAACTGCTCTGGATGCCTTCAGCGGGAAAGCCGCAGGGGAGAGAGTCAAACCAGGGAGGCTATAATCTAAAACTTTTATAAAAGTCTAACAAGAGGCTAAAAGTTCAGCAGCGCTGCTCTAATAGCTGCCAGCAGCTCCTTTCTCCCTCTGAAGCTCGCTGTGTTTCTCTCAGAGCATGCCAGTCCTCAGCAGGAGGCCCTCTGTTTCTCTGCAACTTTCACATTCGGATTGTCTACATGCTGCTTATTAAGTGCGCTGAATAAACTGTTTACCTTGTTTAAGCTTCGTGAGCATCAGCGTGGGGGACTTGCCTGCGTTTGGGTCTTTGAACACCGTCCTGAGATGTTTTTTTATTTTTTTTGGGGTGGGGGTGTTTCAGGTTTCGTGCACGCAAGAGGAGGGAGGGGAGAGGCTGTGAAGAAGCTGGCCCAAGCAAGTCGAACCAGATCCACAATAGGAAAAGAGTGGAAAACAGAACTGCGCTCTGTAAACCTGCACCGAGTAAGAGCTCTGTGCTGCAGAGCATCTATGGTAAGAGAGCAAGGATACTATTTTTTTTTCCCAGTGCATTTAATAATATTTTATAAAAATTTCAACTTACATTCACCAAATTTAGTGATTTTTTTTTTTTTATTTCGAGTGATATATTCACGAGAACATGAGAAAAACGTTATTTCTAAACAAATCTGGAAAGTGTTGGAAGCAATCACAAATTAACACAGCAGACAGGTTTAAAGCAGCCTTGGCTGGAAAACTGCTCTGCTCTATCAGATAAACATAGGAAAGGTTCAACCTACCAAAACTAACAGGCTGGGAGCGCTTTAATCAGACAAGCCACTAGAAGGCTCAGTGCATATCCGGAGGAGCTGCAGAGAACCAGAGCTCAGGTGATGGAATCTGCTGAAGGGACAGTATATATAACCAGAAAACTATACTAGTTCTTATTAGTGTGTCTCATTAAACAAAAAAACTATTGAAGGCTCATGAAATAGTGTGTATCTAGTTTTTAATGGAATTGTTTTGTTCCCTAATAGACTCTTAAAATCCTTAAATGTTATGTTTAGATTTCTGTGAGATAATTTAAACACAGCGGCTGTTTGAATGATCCAACATCGCTGGTTTTATGTCATTGTAGTCACTGCATTTGCACAAACATGTTCTCTGGAAAGAAAAACATGTTTTGAAAATTGATAAAGCAGTTAGCAGCAGTCCTGTGAAGTCCAAGCTGGGGATTGGGATGAAAAGCTCTCAGGTGTAAAGCAGCAGTGTTCATATCTGGACCCTATCAGCCGGGTCCTTCTGCCGTGGTTTCGCTCCCTCAGACGGGCCCGACCTTCACCACACATCACTAGGTGATGATAGGAGGACAGGCAGAAACGCACACAAGCCTGCGTGCTCTCCCTTCACCCTCAGAAGGATCCTCGGTCCGGCTGCACCCCCTCCCCTTCCTCTCTCCGTCTCTCCTTCTCCCTACCTGACAGTTCCTGGCACTGTGAAAAGTTCAGAGCTGTCACAGGGAATGTCAAACGACTGCGTAGGGCTTTCCGCCCAACACACACACCTCACTATGTTACACACACAGGGCGGATTTTCTCACTCCGTCCTTTTTTTATTTCCAAGAAGCAGAAGAATGTTTGACACACTATGCTGCTCCCTTCAACCATTTGACCCGTTTTCTTTTTTGCCCCCTCAGGATTTTGTGGCACTAGTGGCTTTTACTCATTAGTGTCTATACTAGAGCATTACAAACATGCAGTAAATGGCTCAGGTTGGAAATCGAACCTGTGTCAGCTGCTTTGAAGTCAGCAGCGTCTGATCTTCCACTAAGCCAAGCATTACAAACATATCCAGAATTTCTCAAACATTTCTCACTGTTCTGCAGAAATCAACATCAGCTCATAATTTATATTTGACCACTATATTATTCCAATTCAAATTGTGCAAAATAATTCAAAGCCTGTCAAACTATCTTTCATTCGTGATTTTCCTCAAAGTTTGCAACCAGCACTAATGTGAAAAAGACTAATTGAGGCAAAGATTAAACTCCTGGTTTACAAAAGTATCTATCTATATACTTTCAAGACAAGTGGACTTATTTGTAGAAGTTAGTGGAACATGATTCGTGCAGCCTCATCTTATTGCATTCAGAAATGATGTGGTACAAAATAAAGCCTGCCTCCAATGTCATCTAAATGTCCTTTGTCGCCTCATTTAGGCAGCTCTGTGGCACAGAGAGGACGCACCTTTCAGGGCTCTAAGACTCCCCTCCTGCATGACGTTCCCCTACGCGCACAGAGTCAGCGTAAGTCCCTGCATCCTGCCACAAGACTCTTTACACTAGCAGGTTCTTAAAGTTGACCTTCTGCTTGTGTTTCAGTGGGCGGTTTAAACTTGGTGCACCTGACTGACGCCTTAAGTCGAGCCAAGCTGTACTCCTACCACCTGAGGCCACAGAGTGCAGGACAGGGTACGAGAGGCCGAGGGAAACACTAAGCACAGCCTCTCAGTATATACTACCGGTTCTTTAAAAAAACTGTTTTATTGAGATTTTTGTGCTATAGACTACCACATCATTTTGAAGTAAAAAAAAAAACAAACAAAAATATGTACTTTTGTAATCAGCTGCTAGTATTTTTGGTCTCTTTATTTTTTACAAAATAGTTTAAGCGTAATCAGATTGTATGGAGAATTTCACATATATAAACTGAACTTTGACTGGGACCTTCTTGCACATCAATATGCTTTGATATAAACCCTCCTTCATAGCTCTGTACGTTCATTTAGTTTGAACCTCTGCACCAGTCATACACAAATAGACAATAATGTAGGTACCCTTCGTTTAATGAAAGAAAAACCAACAAAGGTCACAGAAATAACCTAAATCTGACAAAAGTCAGAAAAAATAAGATATTGATTTCCAACCATGCTTCATCGAAATGAGTTTAAAATATAAATTCATGAAACAGGCCTGGACGAAGATGGTACTCCTAGAAAATGTGACCAAAGGAACATATTAAATCAAGGTTTGTCTACTAATTAGCACCACAGGTGTCTACAACCTTGTAATCAGTCAGTGGGTCTATATGTAAGGCTGCAGGTGGTCACTGTGCTGTTAAGTGACATGGTATATACCACACTCAACATGGACCAGAGGAAGCAAAGGAAAAAGTTGTCTTAGGAGGTTAGAAAGATGTCAAAGGTAAAGGCTAGAAGAGCATCTCCAAGCAGCTTGATGTTCCTGTGACTACAGCTTCACATTATTCAGAAATTAAAGCTCCATTGGATTGTAGCCATCCTTCCTGGATGTGACACAAAGGGAACATTGATGACAAAACAAAGCATGGCTGCTAAGCAATGTCTGACTTTCAGCTGTTAATTTTCATAAAATGTTTATTACTGTTTTCGGAGTCGAGTTATTTCTGTAACCTTTGTGGGTTTTTCTTTTATTAAACAGGGAACCAACATTTTTTATTTCCCATGCAAGTCTTCTTCAGCCTCGAACATGTTTTTTTTTTATCCTGTTCAGCCCTAAAGGATTATATAAAGTAATGTGTAGTTTTAATTCAAAGTTGAACCCATTATTTTATATCTGGCCTTATCTTTCCGCTTGTAGCGAGGACTTATGATGGATTTGTGATTGTGAAATGCAGGCCAAATTGATGCTATGGATAGATCCCCTAATAAAATTGTTTATTGGAGGCTTTCCCAAAGTAGGTTTGAAGTTATGAAACCTTTTTGGATGATGCCTTAAGTTCAAACTCTTTACCTGAGACCAATCTAATGTGGGGAATAAACACGTACCACCCATCACTATATATTATACATAAAAGAAAACACTGAGGTTGGTGTAATAAGCTGACATGTGACGGCCTTCAGGGTTATTAATGCATCTCCAAGGCAACATATAGAAATTCTTGTTTTCTCAGCTGCCTGGCAGTTTTACCTCATCAGACGTTTCTCCACACAATGTTGGCTCAATGTACCGAGCCTTTTCTAAAATTAAGCCGTGTGACATCAGAGCAGTGACCTCACAGGGTGGGGGTTAAGTCTACAAAAACGGCGTGTGTAAAAGATAACCTTTCATCCATTGTGGAGGGAGTGCGTACACACTGTTCTCCATCGGCGTCCTGTACGCACACACAGACCGAGATAACCTTTCTCCCCTCAGCAGAGAATGAGACAGTCCATCAACAGCCGGTCATACAGATAGCCCACCTGCAGCCGTCAACACACACACTCACTCTCACACGCTATGCATCGGTCTGCTCTTTAAACGCTTTCCCTTTCAAGACAATCAGGCTTTTCTGCATGAAGTCTTAAGTGTCAGTGTTGTGCAATTTCATAAATATAGCCAATATTGAAGTTAATGTTATGTAACTATGTAAAACATTAAATAAAAAGAAGAGATTGTCTTTATTTTCCTTTATTTTAATACAAAAGTTTCCTGCTGGGAAAATGTTACTCAGAGGAGTGACAAGGTGAAGTTTCTTTATGTGAACATGAAGCAGAAAAAAAAGTGTGCTAATGAGAGTTGGGTTTGTTGACCCCCCATCATCGCTAAACGGCTGAAGTTAGTACATGTCTCTGAGGCCCATACTTCCACGGTGAGCAGAGGAGCCGTGGGCCATGGTGACGCTGTAACAGTAGAGCAAATCTGTCAGCCACTGCTCTCTGGGCGCTCCCCTGGAGAACCTCTAAAAATAAAGAAACAGGTAAACGGTAACTAAACAGTTCACAAAAACTACTAAATCATCTCAGCTTATAAGTCAGAGGCTGTATGTTTACCGTCAGATTCTGGATGAGCTCTTGCAGCAGCACGGTGTTAGCCATCAGCTGGTTGTGCAGTGGAGTATGCTGCAGCAGCATGGAGAGGATCTGCCCGAGCTGCGGCAGCTCCTCCGCGCTTAGGTCCCCTACATGCATGGACTGCAGAACCATCCGCAGCAGGCGAGGAACGCTGCTGAGGGCCGTCACACAGGAAGTCCAGATGGCTTCCCTGTAGATATGAAGCACAGAGATATAAAAGTGTCAGAGTCGATGAAAAAACTATCCACTCCTCTTAATAAGTTGGGGATCATGGAAAATCTTTAAATTCCTTTTTTAATGCTATAACCTTCCATATAGTCTTTGCAATCATTTGCAATCATCCATCTGTATACTCAACTATTCGTTTTTTTTTATTAGTATGCAGTTTTTTCCATTAACCTTCATTTGACCAAAAGCCCTCTCCATCTTCTGTTCATCCCTCCATCCATCATGTTTCTCCTTTTGTCTATCCTTGAATTCACCCATTCATCTATCCTTTTGCTCATCCATCTATGAATCATTCATCCATTCTAACCCCATCCATCCTACACATTTCTACACTCACCACTTTTGCATTTCTATAAGCAAGTTTTGCCCAAAAGGTATTTGGTCTTAAAGTCTAGGAACCCTCTAGTGGTGGGAAGCAAACCCCTCCCCCCTAAATGCACCTTTTGTGGTTGGCTTCAGTGGGGACATGCTGCTGCAGGATGACGAGGAGCACCAGCAGGCTGAGGCAGCACTGGGACAAGAAACGCAGCAACTGCTCAACAGGCAGGATGGACAGATCTAATAATCTGGAAACGGCTCTCAGCAGCCCAGCCGCCATGCTGTCAGGAACCACTTCCAACTTCATCTAAAAAGAAAAACAAAAAATAATAGATGAACAAAAATGGGGAATAAAGAGGTGAGAACTGAACAGAAGAATCTCTGTGGGATTTTCAAGGGTTAACGAATAACAGTTCCCACCAGGTATTTGAAAATGCCGTTTTGCAGAATGTCAAAGCATTGAGACTTTGATCCGATGGTCTCCAGACAGTGGCACACCTCCTGTGGACCGAAACATACGTGTTAACAGCATTTACAGAGACGCTAATCCTACATGTCCAGCCAACAATGGACAGCATACAGTGATCTACTGAATAACTGACACTTCAAGAAGAGACCTGTCCTCAAATGTTTAAATTACTCTGAAAGCTTTTATAGCTTTATAGTGGAATATACCCAACACAAATCACATTTAAAACTAAAAATATATTTTTGACAAGAGTTTTTTTTTTATTTAAATATATCAAAATAAAGAGAAGCAACTTTACTACAGTTTTTCAAACACATTTTAATCCAGTTTCAGCATTCTGTCTTCTTAAATTTAAACTTGACCTAAATTCTAGGGAATTTTTATCAACCAGATAGAAGATTAAAGAAATCTCAATTCTATCTGAATAATAGCTATTATTAGGTTATAAGTTATGCTGTTATGCCAAAAAATGGGTTTCCTCAGACCAGGAGATTTTAACCAGGCCTGTAAAGAAAAGGCTTCTGTCTCAAAGCCTCTCTTTATTTAGGCATTTGACGAAGACAGCATGCGGTGGTTGGTAGTTGGCAGCATACCGGACTGTTTCACATTTTGTATTATGTTTTGGACAAACAAAGCATCCAGTATTCTCCTCTTGGCACAGTGCAGCCTTAAGCAGAATCACAATATTTTAATGGTTGCAATGAAATGTAAGAAAACTGAATTCCACAAATTAAGAAAGGTGCTTAAGCTGAGTTTGTGTTTAAAGAGACACCTGCAGGTACAGGTAAAGAATAAATCATGGCCTTAATATTTTAAGGTTTATAAACTTGTAGAACATTTTAACATAGGTTTGAAGCCAAATATCCTGTCCCTGATTATCCATATTTGTTCTCCCTAAATATGCAAAAAAAAAAAAAATCAAGTAATGATGTTTTGAACAATTAAGGCTACCACGTTAAGACAGCCAGCTTTAGTGTGCATTTATCTCCACCCAGAATTAGTTTCAGACCTGAGACGGCCTGCTTACCCCCAACTTTTTAAAAGTGGAAAAATAAGACTCTGCTTTTCCTCATTAACTTGAAAATCCAAATCAAATTTCTCATTACCTTTTATCAAATTGAGCTGTGTGAGGCTACGCGTCTAAACGCAGCACCTGTCGGCATTCTCCCCGTCATTAAAAACAATCCCGTCTCATTAGCCCAACCAGACCTGACACGGTCCGTTTTTTAATGCTGCCGCTGTGCTTCCCCCCCACCCTGGCTGCCGCCTCGCCCTGGCTGTGATTGACTCAGACAGGGAGATGAGAGAAGAGGGATCTGAGGCTTTAATTGAGGGGGGCTGAATTAGTGATTATAAGCCCCCCCTGACCAGCTCACGCACACTTGCCCCGGGGCGCGGTTAGGTTAGTGGTAATTTCTGTGCAGAAATGTCACTCTACCATCATGCCACAGGCTCTCATTAGCATTTGTGGATATCCATTATGCCCGATAACCACGCATCTTCAACCTGCGCAACACGATAAAGGGTCCCCTCTCAGCAGGAGCGCAGTGATAAAACTTCCATTCTCTGAGCTTTTTTTTTTTGAGGGACAGAGAGACACCAGGGGGGACTAAAAGACCACAGCAGTGTCCATAATATCAAAACTTGACAATTTTCAGACCTGTATTCATGGAAGTTTCACTATGTGCATAAAGGTGACAGTGAATAAGGAGTTTGCACCTCCACAACATCCCAGTGATGTGTAAACTGCTCCTGAGGTGTTTGGTAGAGGCAGAGGGGTGAGAGTGAGGAGGCAAGCAGGGCAGTCTCGTCCTCCTGCAGGGCAGAGAGGTGTTCGGACGAGAAGCCTGCCAGGGTGGAGAACAGGAAGCTGATGTAGTCGACGTCCTGCAGAGCCGCTTCCTGGGTCCCGACCGACCAGCCACTGAGAGACGACCTGAGGAACGCAATTGGATAAAGTCCTTTACAATAGATGCCAAAACCTAAACAGCCTCTGGTTTTACAATACTTAAAAAAAATAAACAACGATGCCATTCTTCCTTTAATGACATCTAGAGATGATCAGTTTCATAAGAGAATAAAATATATGTCAGAGCCAAAAGCACACGTAAATAGAGTTATGAAAATGGTTCCTTGCCCTTGGGGAGGATGCACATGTAACCGCAGGAAATGTGTCTGAACAACTGTCCGTGTGTTTGGTGAAGCCTGGGAGGCACATGCAGGCAGTGCAGTCAATACTCCATGACGATGCTGCATTCCAACCTTCCAAAGAACTCTTTGTATTAAATCCATTATGTTCACATCCCATCCCATGTGAACTCTGCAATCCTGCCGCTTAAAATTTGTGTAACACTGGCCCACTGACACCGTGGGGTTAGGGAAAGGCGGGAGTTTGAGAGGGGCAACAAGTCAGATGCAACATAGCAGGGAAAGGTGAGCAATCTGCTTTTACTAGCATGTGGAATATAAAATATGTTTGCTTCCAAAGTGAATAAAATGCTGCTGAGACATTAGATGGACCCAGACATAGCCCACTACTGCCATCCGGTGGCAATACTTTGCATTGCAAATGAATTTATGATTATTTTGTCATCACAAAAAGTCAGTTTACCTTATTTAGACCTCATAACCAAGTTAAACAAAATTTTTGCAAATGAAAAATCTGCATTTCTATTCAACCTCCCGACAAAATATTTAGTCTTTAGGTGTCTAAAGCTAGTGCACATCTACAGACTGAATAGGAGCTATGATGAAAAGAACATTGAGCAATATGTGTTAGATAAAATAGAGAGGTCTCACTACACATTGGATCGAGTCTCAGACTTTGACTCATAAATCTGCTTGTCTTCCCCTATCCTAGCTAAAGAACAGCACAGCACTATGCTGCCACTACCTTGTTTCACCATAGAGTTGGTACATCCAAAGTGATGTGAAGCAGCAGTTTTCCATCTACCAGAATTCCATACATTCTTTACCCTATTAGTTGACTTCAGTGGTGGATGGTTGCATTTCCATCTTATTCAAGAAGAAAGGATAGTGAAATCTACTTTTCAAGAGCTGCGGCTGCAATTGTAGAAAACCATCCCTGCAGGTTGGTGCCGCAAGATTCCACTGCTGGGGTGTTTCTTACAAAATGCATATTTTTGGTCTAAAGCTGATCAAAGCATCATGCCTGCCCTCTTCTCTAAACACTTTATTTGAGGAGTAGATTCTTCACCTTCAGCTCTGGACCTGAGCAGCCTATAGAGAAAACTGTTTTTCTTTTTGTTTTGTTGGGTTTTTTTAAGTCGTAATCAATATACAGTTAATTTTGTATTAAAATCTAGGATCCATCATGTTCTGTCTGGTGCCTACCATCAAATTGCATCACTGACTAAATATTTAGTCAGTCTGCAGCTGTACCTACATACACTAATATGAAATGTGAAAGAGATGCATGATTCTGTAGCAGAGTAATTCAAAATGTGTTATTTAAATACCGGGTTGTTGGCTCACCTAAAGTGTATGATACGGATAAGAGAGGCAGCGAGGCCTGCAGAGATGCGTCCGGCGGTGCAGC